TCTACCATACCCAGGCCTTATTGTGAGTATGCTAAGGTCTTAAATCATGGACAGCTACTAAACATGAATAACACCTCACTACACTCAGGGACAATACCTCCAGACTTTATAAAATTGAAATTAGATGGAAGCAACTTAATGGAATGGGATCAGTGTTTACAGATTGTATATATGAAAGAAAATGTTTTATTTTTTATTGATAACCCACCAAATAAGCCTTGGACCTATGAAATAGACTGCCTCCACCACAAAGCATACTATATGTTAATTGTTTCTATTTCCCCAAGTATACTCCCCAGTATAGAGCATAATTTAACTGTATTTGAAGTATATCAAAAATTATTCAGACTGTTCTATAGCAAAAATGTAGCCACTACCACAAAAATCTCTAGGGAATTCTATTCTGCCAAACTAAAACATGATACATCCATGAGTGAGCATATCTTGAATTTAAACGCTGTAAGAGCAGACCTTATTCAAAGGGGAGAAACCATTTCTGACAACACCATGAAAAGCATTATAATTAACTCACTAGATCACAGCTGGGATAACTACATTACACTAATAGATAACCTAAGTATAGAGCAAATTACTTTAGAAAACCTTACCAATAAGCTTATTACTGAAGATAGACTTAGAAGAGAGCGATATACACAACAAAGAGAAGGTAGAAATCAAAGAAGGACTGATTTCAGGGCCAGAGACAGATACCCACATGAATGTCTCACATGTGGATCTGAAAGACATCAGAGTAGAGACTGTCCCAAGAATATAGGATACAGTGACTCATATAAACACAAGGATAGAAGAATACACTTTTTAGACAGAACCTCCCCAGATTACAGGTATAAGAGAAGAGAATCACCACACTCTAGAGAAAGACAAACATACAGAAATAACCCTAGAGAAAATAAGAAAGGATCACTATATGGAATAAGAAATAATAACACTTTGATATCTGATTCACTCAACACCTGGCTCATAGATTCAGGAGCCACATGCCATACAACTCATAATAGAGAAATATTAAGTAACTTCACTGAAAAGAAATATTATATTAAAGTAGCAAACCAAAATAGAGTCCTAGTGAGAGGAATAGGAGACACGCATATAAAAGGTATAGGAAAAATAGAGGGGGTACTATTTGTGCCCGAAATTCCAAATAACATATTGGCAACCCTAAAGTTAAGCATAGACAATGCAATAGAAACCACTTTCAGAGGTGGAAAGGTATTCATGACTAAGAACAACAGAAACATAGGTAAACTATTTACAAATGATGGACTAACATACCTACTGCCACAAGATAACGAACTAGTCTATGCAAACTATCAATTAAGAAACAAAAAACCAAATTCAGATAGCCATGATGAAAATAATGATAAGAATGCATCAAACACTGATACTAATATGTCTGAAAATTTAAACAATGGAAAACCTATTCACGATAATTGTAGTCACTTACTCCACAGAAAGCTAGGACACGCGAGCTTTCCAGTCATACGAAAAATGTTAGAGTGTTCCGAAGATTTAAAAATAAAGAACTGTAAAAATTACTTAGAATGCTCTGTATGCAATTCTTCCAAAATTAAAAACAAGCCAAAACCCAAAAAAGCCACCCGCACCACACAATCAACCTTTCAACTAATTCATATGGATGTAGTAGGCCCATTAAAACCTTCAATTAAATACAAAAAAAGATACTTCCTGACCATAGTCGATGACTATAGTAGATTTGGTTTTGTATACACCCTTAACCACAAAAGTGAGGTTTTCAAAAATTTAAGGAGTTCTTTAAAATGGTAGAAACACAATACAATACCAAAATCAAACAAATAATGACTGACAGGGGGTCGGAATTCCTATCCAACGAATTTTCAATTTGGCTAAAATCACAAGGAATATTGCACTTTAAATCTTGTCCATTTTCCCCATTCCAAAATGGAGTCTCTGAAAGGAAGAATGGTTTGCTACAAACCATGGTTAAATGTGTGTTAGATGATGCTGGTTTAAACCAGTCATTCTGGGCTGAAGCCCTTAATTATTCCAATTACACTATAAATCGCTTATGGTCCAGTACAATCAATAAGACCCCATACGAACTCATGTATGGAAGGAAACCAAAAATTGGGCATTTACACGTATTTGGTGTATCTGCTGATGTATATGTGCCCTCACAGTTAAGACGCAAAGGAGAGAAAGTATCCAAAAGACTGATATTTATGGGGTACGAATCAGGAACCAAGGGATATCGCTTCATTGATAAAAATAATCACTTCATTGTATCCAGATCTGCCGTGTTTCATGAACACATGAACTGGTCAAAATTACATCTCAATGAAATTTACCCAGAATCAAAAAATATTACACACACGCACGCAAAACATCACACATCAGATACGAACCCCAAATCCACATCTACTAACAGAATCAAATGCCCAGTAATAGTTAATGATGAATGGAAAAAAGGACACCCCACTTTGAAAGTAGATCAATTAACCGAAAAAGAAGCTAAGTATATGCATAGCGATGAACATCCCCAGAATAGGCCCATTAGATCCAATAGGGGCATAATTCCTAAAAGATTAGATGATTACGTACTGTCTATCCAAGCTAAACACCTGACTCCTAACACATATGATGACATACTTAAGCTACCCCTAGAAGAAAAAAGTAAGTGGGAGGAAGCAATGAAAAAAGAGATGGACAGTTTGAGAGAACTAAATGTATATACACCAACAGACCTGCCCACTGAGAAATCCCCTATTGGCACTAGGTGGATCTATAAAATCAAGGAGCTAGAGGATGGTAAATTCCTATACAAAGCCAGGTTGGTGGCTCAAGGCTTTGCCCAAAGATTTCCGGATGACTATGAAGACACTTACTCCCCAACCGTTAGATCAGAAAGCGTGAAAACAGCACTAGTGTTAGCTTCTATCTTAAATCTGGAAGTATATCAATTTGACGTGCAGACAGCCTATCTGCACGCTGATCTAGATAAAGAAATTTATGTGAAAGCACCCCCAGGAAAGGATACAAAAAAGGGAGAAATTTGGCTATTAAACAAGAGCCTTTATGGACTAAAACAGTCCGGTAAGCGGTGGTATGAGTGCTTATCAAAGATACTTAAAAATATGGGTTTTGTAGCTACTTCATCTGATTTTTGTTTTTTCACAAAAAAAAATAATGATTCTATTGAATATGTTTTGATTTATGTTGATGATATATTGTATTTTGGACACGACAAAATTAAATGTGATAATTTCGCTGAACAACTAGGCAAAAATTTCAACTTAAAAATATTAGGAAAGGTAAATAAGTATCTAGGAGTCCAAATTGACAAAACAGATAAGGGGTTCAAATTATCTCAGAAAGACAAGATTATGGAACTCATACAAAAATGTAATTTAATTAATTCAAAAATTTGTGATACTCCTATGTCAACTGATTTTTATAGGAATGTGTATAATGAGTACGAACCATTCAAGGATAACACGTTATATCGATCAATTATTGGGTCCTTATTATACATATCTAATTGGACCAGGCCTGATATCACCCTTGCTGTAAATTTGTTGTCAAGACATGTAAGCAATCCTAACTCATACCACTGGGAAGGAATTAAGAGGATTCTAAAATATCTAAAGTCTAGCATTGATATGTGCTTATTCTTAGAACCATTCATTTCTGAAAAACCAACTTTGACCTGCTACGCTGATGCTGATTGGGCTACTGATTCAAAAACCAGAAAAAGTACTTCTGGATATGTTTTTCTTATAAATGGCTGTGCGGTGCACTGGTACACAGGCAAACAGAATTTAATTGCCACTTCCACAGCGGAAGCCGAATATGTTTGTTTATCCAAAGCAGTCAACAATCTAACTTGGTTCGATGACTTGTTAACCAATGTGTGGGATGAACCTGTTTATCCAATTATTATCAATGAGGACAATAAGGCAGCAATTGATATATCAGCTTCCGAAGCAATAGGTCAACGATCTCGACATATCGATATAAAATATAAACATGTAAGACAACTGTCAAGTATAGGATTTATTAAAGCTATCCATTGCAATACTAGTGAACAAATTGCTGATATCCTCACTAAGCCATTGCCAACCAAACAACATATGTATTTGACTTCCAAACTTGATGTGCATATATAATCTTAATAACCCACCATTAGTTAGGTATTTTAGAGGGGGATTTGTTACAGATGAAAATACCTAACCTGATATCTGTAAATATGTGTGCTTGTTTATATGTCATTGTGTGATGTCATTGTGTCACTTACCATTGGTTAGTACTTACCATTAGCCCCGCCTTCTCTGTATATAAGTTCTTGCTCCTCCCAGATTAGTGCCTGTCTAATTGTGTTCCTGAGGAAGAAAAGAAATAAATATTACTATTACAAGAAAGCCTAACAGTCTCTTATATATGGGCCTAACCAGGATAACCAAACTAGCAACATTCATATGTTTTAGCCTTCATGTGTTTTAGCCTACGCATCTTGTATGTGTTTGGCACAGCTAACCATTTAAGTTTGATCAAGATGAAATGCTATTTTACTCAAGCCTCTGTTTAAGTTTCTTGTTTGGCATTTATGAGCTTAAAACATATTATTATTGGACCTTACACTACCATCTCGCTTCAGGGACGCTTGGAAAAGATTGCGCATAAACCAAAAAGCCCATTTCTTCTTCTCCCCCCCCCCCCAACTCCAAAGGTGGAGTAAACAGAGAGAGGATTTACGCGGGAGGTGAAGTGGGGAAATAGGGATGACTGGGATTCGGGACCGGTTGCTTCACTGGGAGAAATTGGAGAAGCGCCCCCCCCCTCCGCGAACTCCATTCCGCCTAGTTTTTTTCCAACCCTACAGGAGGAATGTTTATCCGGGAACCGCTTTAGCCTGAGCCGGTGGGAGAAACTGCTGCGTTTCCGTCAGGATGTTTTTCGCTGTGACACTCACTCACTCCTCCTCCTCCTCCTCCTCTTTCTCCTCCCCCGCCACCCTCCAGCCTTGCCCACCCACCTCTGATCTAGGTAGATCCTCCACCCTTTAGAGCGATCTCCCTTTCCTTCTCCTCGGGGGTTTCTTCCCCTCTTTCTTTCTCCCGACTTGCTCTTGAGTTCTCCTTTCTTTTTCTTTAGGACTGGTCCTTCCCTTCTATGAGACACTAAAGGGGAGCAGATACCTTGTTCTGTACATACCCCCATTATTGATTTTGGGGAGTGGGGGGGAAAGGTAGGTGACAGCTGCCATAAACAGAAGGATTTGGTCTTTCTTTCTTTCTCATCACGTCGGTAGCGCTAAACGGGTTTCGTGGCTGCTTGGAGATGGAGGTGGCTGATTTTAAACTGATATTGGGAGCCCAGTGCTAACTCTACCAAGTCTTTGGGTGAATAATCAGCTTGGATTCATCTGCCAGGATGTTTTGGCATTGCTTGCCACCGGCTGTGCCTGCTGGGTAGATGCTCCCAGTCTTGGATCCTTTCTTAAGAATCATCTTATATCACTATAACTGGTTTTGGATAACTTTGCTGCTGCCTGGATTGTTACTTCGGGACTGCTGCCTGCCCCTGTCGAAGATGTCATTGTTGTCTTTTTCTTTGTGACCCTTTCAGGCTGGGGTATGTTCTGCCAGACACATTCTTAAGGAGATCTTGGATTTATAATGCTCACGGTTTTGCTTGGATCACTGCCTGCCACTGCCAGTTGACTTTGTCATCTTGATAGGTGGCCCAAAGATCTCTTATCTCCTCCTGGACATTATAGTGGCATCCTTCTACAGGATGATAGCACAAGATGCATGGTGGCACCAACTGCACCTTGCTGTGAAACTTAGGTGCAGGGATGAGAGTTGAGAACAAAGATTTTGGAATATCACCCAAGCAGGGTAAGTTTAGAGCTTGTTTAATTCCATCTACGTATGCATCTATGTATGGTTGCTACTTACTATTATCTTCTGCCAAAACCGTTCTGTGGAATTTAATAAGCCAGTCCTCAGGCTACATATGATACCAAGGCTAGAAAAGAAAAGTTGTTGCAAATGCTAATTGGAGAGGTAGCAATTGGCATGTAATATTCAAGGAGGAGAATCATGGGGGTGCAAATTGGCTTGTCCCAAAAATGGGGATCCAATTATCCTGCAAGTTTTGCTATGTAGCTCTTCACTTCTTCCAATCTGTTCAGTTATCAACTGGCACTGGATGCTTCTCCTTTAAGCATTATAAATAAAATACTGAGCTTCCATGTTCAGAAGCAGGTTTAACTTTGAACAGTAAAGGAACCTTGCTGCTTTTGTGATTTTCTCTGCAAACTTCCCAAAGGATCTGGTTGGCTAAGATGGAAATGAAAACCTTCAAACTGAGAAGAAAACACATAGCCACAAATTTAAAAAAAATTCCTAAGAGACATCTAAGCGCTCTGATTTTCCAGTTGCTGCTGCCATACAAAAAACCAGGCATCCTTATACAGGATCTCCTTGCTATTTCCCTAAAGGTTTTTAAAGATTGCTACATGCACCACTTTTCAGTAAGTTATTTTTTGGAATTCATGTGAAATGTTGACGTATTAGCTAGTATATATAAAAAGTATGGATTAAAAACCAGGATAACTTTTTTCTGCATTTCTTAGTCTTTTTCATTCTTTCCTTAGTAATAGAGAGGTGGGATTTTATGGACCCTTTGGGTCAATGTTGACTGCTGGCAACTGCCCTAGAGAGACAAATTCCTGCATTTTTCTGGACAATATTTCAGAATGCCTTGCCATTGCCTGCTTCCTGGGTCTGAGAGAATGTGACTGGCACATGTTCACCCAGCTAGCTTTGCACCTAAAGCAGGACTGAAACTCATAATCTTTCTAGCCTCATGCCTTAACCACTAGACCAAACAGTCTCATAGTAATAGGAGTAGAAGTGGTGGTTTGATTAGTTAAGAAATTACAACTTTACAAATTGTAGTGTATATAATGTCTCTTGCCTCATTCTGAAGACCAGATTTCCCTTGTCTGAACCTTGCAAATGCACTGGTTTACAAAGCCTATCATCCCTGAGCCAAGATAATCATTGGGTTGGCCATTCTGAGATCAGAATATTGAATTTACTGGGGCTTTGTTCTTACATTCTTATGTGTTAACACATCTGGAAGGGGCCAAATTGAAGAAGAAATTGATTAATTCTCATCATGTTAGCCTGTCCCAGCCTAGTCAATCTTTATTCAGATCTCTTGTTTTGCATCTCTTCTGTTATTGTTGACATGAATTTTACATATCTGTTATAGGGTTACATATCTGTTAAAGGGCAAAATCTGGATATCATGGACAGAGATGATAAGAATTAAGATAATGTTTATTAAATACAGCAAATACATAGGCATTATTTAGGGTTTGATCAGGAGTCTTGATGTTTGTAGTATTCGTAAACATTTTGTTCAGGTGTTAGGTGTGCAGATTTCCCAGAATTCTGCTGAATCACATTGCTAAGGGAAGTGAAACAAGGTAAGGTCAGTTACTTTGCTACCAGCTAAAATAGTTTGCTGCTATATAGAATGCATGTTTCCAGATCTAGTGTGTCCAGTAGGCCTTTACTAATTAAGTATGCTTAGGATTGCAGTCTTGCTAGCCTTATCATTTGGGACTACAAACTTTACATACCATCAAAGAAATAATAAATTGCAGTTTTGTAGCCTAATCCTGCGCTTTTTCATTCAAAGATAAGTTAACATTTAAGTTGGGAAAATCAGGTTTTGATGTAATATCCAAAATATAAAAGGAAATAGTAGAGTTGGATTTATTGCCAAATCAAGTGTTACTTCAATGCCTTAGGATGGTTGTAATCATAAAGATATTTAGCTAGAATAATCTCCCCGAAGAGAATAATATCCACTTCTAACTAGACATGCATAATCTTGGGATGTCACTGGATTAATGGCTGAAAAGTTTAACCGACAGGGCATAAAGCACCATCCAAATTGCCCTGCTAAACCTCATTAGCAGAGTGGGTTCTTTTAAACAGCCTGGATTTAAATACAAAAATGCTAAATACAAATAAAAAATGGTTCTGAAAGCCATTCTGTGGGGCAAAATGTATTCATTCTGTATTTAATTCCACTCTGCCACCAAAGAGGAGAACACATGAGCAGAATATTTTAAGGTATATCTCCTCTGGTGATGACATCACTTGTCATGCCACCATTGACAGCAAAGAAAGAAAATACTCACTTCTGCTCTGAACTATAACTTGATGTAGCTTTGGTTTGATGAACAAAGTGCAGTTGGCCAAGATTGCCACTCTAAGTCAAATCCAAACAAATAACATTGTGGCTTATTTTGTGTGAGATGTGAATTCAGTCTGAGAATCTATTCAATCATAATGTAGCATTTTCTTCACCCATTCAAAAAACCCCACATGTATTAAGATGATAATTTCATTCGCTTAAACTGTTTAATTTTGTATATTTGAATGTCAGCCACAACTGTTCAACTGGTTGACATGGATATTTAATTAAAATTTCACAGTTCAACCCTTAAAACGTTTGTGGCTATATGGCTGGGTTTTTTTTGAAAAAACTATTAACATATCATTACATTGCATAGGTTAATTGTTGCAGTTGCTTTTTTTTTTCCAGACTTGGTACTGCACCCCAAGGAAATCACTCATATTCTTATACAAAACTTATGGAGCTGCAGAGACATTCCAAATCTATAAGGGATCCTCATAAATTCTCAGAAACATTGGATTGCCTGCAAGAACCCAAAAGCAATGTGGGACAGCACATCAAGCTGGAGATGGGGGTTGAGGGAGAGGATGCCCATTCTTCACCTCCTAAACTCTCTCGGCCACCAGCACCTTCTCCTAGCGACACCCTTGTTCAGAGTTTGAATGGCTTACCGGGAGCAGACAGGCGGGTACACGCTCCAGGCGTGACTACAACAGGCCTCGACCAAGGAGAAACCTCTCGACTAGGGCATTACCTGTTGATTGACAGTCAGGGGCTGCCCTACACTGTACTGGTAGAAGAGGGAGTGGGGACACCAGGGGGCCCCGAAGTGGGTGGGAGCGGGGGAACCTTGCGCAAGGTATACAGCTGTCCTGTGTGCTTGCGAACATTCGAGTACCTGTCTTACCTGCAGCGCCACAGCATTACTCACTCAGAAAGCAAGCCCCACATCTGCCGGGCATGTGGCAAAGCTTTCAAGCGCACTTCCCACTTGGAGCGCCATAAGTATACCCACTCGGGCCGGAAGCCTCATCAGTGCCCCATCTGCCAGCGCCGTTTCCGTGACTCTGGAGAGCTTTCCCATCACCAGCGGGTGCACACTGGTGAGCGGCCTTACCAGTGTGAAGCATGCCACATGCGCTTCGGGGAACGCAACACCCTCCAGAGGCACATCCGCCGGAAGCATCGTTTGCAGCTCCTCCCCACGCCGTAAGAACTGGTCTTTGGGTGGGTGAGGGGACTTAATTTGGCCTGAAGACCTATCTAGGAAAGTGTTATCCAGGCTCTGTTAGCTTCCATGCATGCAATAGTAATCCTAGCCTGCTTAAATCTGCCTGGGCTTTATCAATCTGATATTTCCACATCAGTCAACACAATGACAACTTGTTCCATAGGAAAAACTGGAGTGGAGAATTTCTCCCCAGTGTGCTAAAAATTAGCAGGCCTGCTGAAAGCAGCTTGCCAAGGCTTGGCATGGACCTCTTCTACTTTCTCTTGCCAATGAGGACCTGGCATGATATTTTATAGATACTAGACTATATCATGCCTGTATGTTCCTCCCCCCACCCCCACCAGGAAGATCCTTTCCCTTCTGCTTTGTTTCCAAGCACTACCGTTACCATTGCCTGTATAGGCAGTGCACACCTAGCATGGATACAATGGCTGAGCATCACTTCTCCGCCACATGCAGCATAGTGTGGTTGCATTTAACCTGGCTGCAGTGTTCTGGCAGGAGCCGTTTTCTCGTGCCGGGCCTAAATGGCAGGGAGACTCCAACAGGCACTGCGTAGACTTACCCATACTGCATAAACACTGCCTTTATTATCTATGCCCCAAAGGCCTGTTTATCAGATAGACTGACATTGCATGCCTATTTAACAATGCATCTGTAAAACTGGTATTGAAATCTACCGCTCGCTAAGCCTGGAGGTAGGCCTCCCTTTCCATATGTTGCTCAATACCCAAACAGTCTGGTAGAAAACTAGGGCCTTCCTATCTATTCTAGAGTTTGTATCAAGAGTCCAACTGGTGTGGAAAGAGATGCCAAATTGGGCAGCTATGAGGATGCTTTTTTCTTCTACATAGGATTTCAAAGAGAATGGAGGTTTTGTCCAAGTGAATGATAGAAGCTGGGGGAAATGACAGCTAAATTTCATAGTTCCTGGAAAACAAGGATTTGGATTTCTCTTTATGATAATGTGAAAGTGAGTGGAGGTGTGCTTCCCTTACAGACTCTTGGCTAGTGCTGAAATTATGTGAAATTAGGAAGAATTGGAATGATGTTTGCTTATTGAGCCTCCTCCCAACATTCCTTTCAAAATTCACTGCTTTAAGACATCTCCACTTTTTTTTAAAAAGGATAAAAACCCAGTGTGGGAACTGGGGCAGCGAAGAATAAATTATGGGATATTCCTTTGCTGTCAGTCCTGAGCATTCTCTTATTTTGAAACCTTCAATTGTTTTCCAGTGAAAATTGTTATTTCAAAATCCCTTCCCAAAGGTTTTTAATTCAGGCTTCAGATAGTTTAGTAAGGTAGTCCTCAATTTATGACCACAATTGATCCCAAAATTTCTGTTATTGAGTGAGACATTTGTTAAGTGAGTTTTGCCACATTTTATGACTTTTCTTGCCACAGTTGTTAAGTGAATCACTGTAGCTGATAAGTTAATAACCCAGTTGTTAAGTAAATTTGGCTTTCCCATTGATTTTGCTTGTCAAAAAATCGCAAAAGGTGATCACATGACCCTGGGATTCAGCAACGGTCATAAATATGAACCAGTTGCCAAGCATCTAAATTTTGATCACATGATCATGGGGATGCTGCAGAGGTCATAACAGTGAAAAATGACCATAAGTCACATTTTTCAGTGCTTTTGTAACTGAATGGTCACTAAAGAAATGGTTAAGTTGGGGACTACCTGTACTTTGTTCCCTTGTCAAGTCTAGTCCATTTTTTAAAAAAAATTGAAATTAGGTGGTGCCATTTTAACCCAGCTTTCCAGATAATTTTGGGCCAAAACTGATAAAGTCTTGAGTTTACCTCTGAATTAGTGTTTCCAATCTCAGTACGCTGGCTGGGAAATCTTTTGTGGGAAAAAATTTCATTTTGCTAACATTGAGAAACACTGCTGTAATTCCAGGATAATACCAAAAAAAACCCTTCCACTTGAGCTCAACCACCATATGTGGATTGTAAGGGTGACCACAATACTGCAGCAAAGAATATTTATACTATCATCTAATGGTTGACTGTACTACTGCAGTCCTGATAGGGCAGTTCTAAGATTGCTTTTGGAGAAATATGTGATGCTGTGGTTTCCTACAATATTTTCACAGGTTTTAGGATCTGTTTCCTTGGTAGTGTGATGGGTGTGATGTGAGGCTGGGGGGAATAAGCAGGACAGACTGCTATGCAGACATGTGTTGCAACGTGTCAGATGGTCTGGTATGTAGTCAGGGAGATGCTATGTCCACATTTCCTCTACTTAGTGTTGTATATTTGACTTACGTCTGTTTTTGCTCTTTTTTTTTAATTAAAAACAATTCTCTGGGGTTCTGGTTCACTTTCTTGTGCTGTTCAAATAAAGTCATGCTGTGTTATCTCTGTCTTGTTGATCTGTTGCCTAGAAGTGAGCCTTTTGGGTGTGGATGGGCAGAAAATAAAAAAATCATAGAATTATGGGTTTGGAAGGGACCTTGAAGCAGGAGACCTTATGCCATTTCTGTTGTCCAATCTCTTCTTGAAATCCTCCAGCAATGGAGCACCCACAACTTTAGGAGACAAGCCCTTCCCCTGATTAATTGTTCTCAGTCAGGAAATTTCTCCTTAGTTCCAGATTGAATCTCTCTTTAATGAGCTTCACCTTTTACTTTTTTGTTCTTCCTTCAGGTGCTTTGGAGAATACTTTGACCTCCTCTTCTCTGTGACAGCCCCTCAAGGACTACAAGGCAGCTGTCATATCACTCTTAGTCCTTCTCTTTGTTAGACTAGACATCTGTAGTTTCCCCAACTGTTCATCATATTCTTTAACCTCATCCTTAGCATCCTTACAGTTGCTCCAGAGAAAGCCATAAAGCATCTTTGTTGCTCTTCTCTACTCTTTCTAGGTTCTCAGCATCCTTTTTTGTATTGTGGTGACTAGAACTGGACACAGAATTCCAAGTGTGGCCTCATTAGTGTAGTATAAAGTGGAACTTCACATGATCTTGATACTATCCCTCTGTTGATTGAGCTCAGGACTGCATTAGCCATTTTTGGCAAGTGCAGTATACTGCTGGCTCATACTTAAGTATATTCCTCCAGGACCTCTCTCACAGGCACTACTGTGGAACCAGATGCTCAAGTATTATTCTATACTTGTGCATTTGTGGGTTGTTGTTGTTTTTTGCCTAAGTGTAGCAGGACGTTTCATTTTTCACCACTGAATTCCACTTTATTGGATAGGGCCCAATGCTCAAGTCTATCAAGATCCTTCTGAACTTTGAATCTATCTTCCAAAGTGTTAGCACTTCCCCCCAGCTTAGTGTTGTCTGCAAATTTGATGAATTCCTCTTCAATTCATTCATCTAAATCAGGAGTGTCAAACTGCCAGCCCGCAGGCCAGATGTGTCACGCACAGGCCATGCACACCCAGCTCCGCAAATGGGAAAAACGTCATGAAACATCATGCGACGGCAACATGACGCTGTGAGTTTGACATCCATGATCTAAATCATTTATGAAGATATTGAAGAGTACCGGGTCTAAGACAGAACCTTAAGGTACCTCACTGCAAGGTTACCCCCATGTAGATGTACCGGTAGTTCCATCGACTGAGTGCAGTTGGTCAGCCAATTGCGTATCCATCTGGTAGTGGTGCTATCTATCACACATTGTTCTATCTTACCAAGAAGTAGATGGTGGTCTACTTTTTCAAATGCCTTACTATACTTCAAGTAAACAAGAGCTTTCTTAACTATGCTGGACAAACATTGACAAATCAACCAACTACTGAAAGAAAATATTTAGCACTCTAAACCAGCAGAGTTGCTTATTTTACAGAAATATCTCAGTTGTATTATTTTGGGGGATGCTGTAAGTGATTACAAAATGATAAAAATCTTTTCAACATTTCATCATTTTCTAACGATCCAAGATGGTGCTCCAGAAGGGGATGGTGGATCATGAAAACTGGCATGCCTTGAAGATCAGAGCATTCACACATTAAGAGTCTGGAAGAGGTTATAGTGAATCATCATGATTACAGCAAAGGTCAAGGTACAGGTGAGTAGATTGATTCCTCAGAATGTCTCTGGATAAGGAGAGGAAGGAGATTGCCCAATTGTGCTCTGGCTGGCTGTTCCCCACAAGCAGACCATAGGATGGCTTTCTGCAGGTTTGAGTATGGAAGATGATAGGATTAGTCATCTTGATCAAACTATGGTGATGATTTTCAGAGGAAATCATGTTTGCAAACACTGCCTTTAATCCTGGACCAAGGAAAACTTTAAGCTTAAGAATTTAAAGAGTCTGAAATAAACAACAAAAAAGTAAATAAGAGTTTAATCTTAGAAGGTTATAAACAGACTAAGGGACCAGACAAAATTGGAATATTGAAACATTTACAATAAGATGTTAGAATTATTGGACTTCCAGTTTGGCATCGCGGCGAGACAGTCGGGGAATTAGCGGGCTCCGATGAGCTCCACGAAAACTCCAGCTGACGAACTGCTGCCGATGGGTCTGTGGACCAGAACCATCCTGTAGGGATTGGGAAGAAAGAGAGGTGCCTCGGATGACCAAGAGGAACAGGTAAGTTCCTCGAAGGTTGGAGGGAACTCTCTGTGACTCGGCAGCCGGAGATGGCAGCCATGGCGCCTGCCACGAAGCTGGGACAACCGGACTAAGTATGGAGCTGGAGAGAGGAGAGGAACGGAACAGAGTTTTTTGAAGCCGGGTGAGTGACAGCCAACCCAGGCATGAAATAACAACAAGGGAAACATCTTTTAACTATAAGACCCCTAATGATAAATAGCGGCTAAGGAGCGTGGGGGCAAAGAAGATTTTGAAACGTAACTTTAAAGAGACAAAAACCCGATTGGAAATTGATTTTTGAACAAACTATTTGGAAACCTTAAACAATTAGATAATGGTCAAAGGATTGGAAAGAAATAAAGAGATCCTTTTTTTTCTTCTTTTTAAATTTCAAGAAAAACAAAGAGAATGGATAATAAGCTTTAAAAAAGAAATGATGTACAAATAAAAGGAAAAAAAGGGGGAAAAAGAAGTGAGAAGAGCTATTCAAATTTGGACTGGACTTTAAATATGATTGGGTACTTCTAAACCTTAAAGAAAAAGAGAAGCTAAATAAGATTGTTATGTAATTGAAACAAAATGGATACTTTTTAAACAACCAGAAATTCTGGATTGCAGAGAAACACCATCTGGAGTAAAAAGGAATATTGCAACTTGGTTTTTGTTTTGGAAAATTGTGGACTTCGCAGATAACATCCATGAGAACTTAAGGGGGAGGATTTTCTTGTCTACAAGAGGCTTGACTTTGGGGGGGGGGGAAATAAAAAGAACGGATCATAACGGAACTCTTACAATTGGAATAATATTAATCTAAAAAGAAAAATGGTGCAGGAATTAGAGAAGGAACAAATTGATCTATTTAACTTGGACAATGGAAATAAGAGAAATAACTATAATATTGCACAGAGGATAAAAATTTGAGGATACAGAAGTTGAAATGGAGTATACATAAGTGGACAAGAAAATGAAGATGGAGGAATAAGACATAGAGGTAAAGAATAAAGAAGACAAAGACAATGTGATTAAATATGAATAAGTAATTGATCATGTGAATAGTAATAATAAAAAGGAGGTCTCGAGATTATATTGAGATTAACAATAACATAATGATGATTACACTGGGATTAACAGTGAATGATAAAAGAATAAAAGGTTGGGAAATATTAAAGAAAATAAAAAAGTTCAGGACTTGGATTTATAAAATGACTATATTGTGATTAATAAATATGAGAAGAAATATGTTACAGATACTTAGAAATAAAATATGGATTGAAGCTAAAACATACGAGAAATAGACTATGTTAAAAGAAAATATGTCAATGGATATAATGAATCAATTTTTTATTAAGATGTTAGAAGGTATTATTTGAGAAAATTGATGGCTATAATAATTGGGATATTGTTTAAATACTTAAAACAATTGTAACAATTTGAATACTTTTAATAATATATTTATTTAAGTAAAAGATGATTGCTGGGATTAACAGTGGGGGAAGATGATTACACTGGAATTAACAGTGGAATAAAGATGATTACACTGGGATTAACAGTGGAATGATAAAAGAAAAGGTTAAATTAGATCTTGTAAAAAGAAAACATAATAATGGACATAATGAATCAATTTCTATTAAGACGCTGGATGGTATTATTTGAGAAAACTGATAGAGATAATAATAGGGATATTGTTTAAATATGTATAACAATTGTAATAAGTTGAACATTTTCTACTTAAGCAAAAAAGAAAACAAAATTGAAACAATATATGATTATGATTTACAAACAAAAATTATTTAATTAGTGTGTATAAGATTTAAATTTGATAAAGTAATACTGGAATAAAGATTTAATGAGAACTACATGAAGTAATAAATAAATGTAAGGAAGTTTTAGAAATGGAAATAATTTTGAAATATAAACATGTTTGAACTGTATTGTTAATAGTGAGAACTTAGGGTAAGAATTGTGAAATGTAGTATGAGGTATTAATTGAATTAAGATTTAAGATGGGTTAATAGAAGGGTAATTGTTTTTTATTAAGTAAATATGAGTAAACTTTTTCTAAGATGGTATTAGTTGAAATATATGATTTAAGATTAAGAAATAAGTGTTATGGCAAAACAGAATATATAAAATTTGTTAAAGATGACAAAAAATTGAACAAATTGATGACCAGTCAAAGCTCTGTTCGAAAAAGATGTAATTTGTGTGTTGGAAAAAAAAATAAAAAAAACTTTGCAAAAAAAATTTTTTTTTTAGAATTATTTATAAAATACAAACAGTGGCTTGTGAGAAGTAGATCCTGTTTTGCTTTTTGCAAGACACAAACAATAAGATTTCAAAAACTGAACATTAGAGAGAACTAAGGATTTTAGGTAAAGGAAATATAACAGGCCTGCCAAGTTGGTTATGACAATAAAAATACTGAGGGAGACTTTTGAAGAATGGGATCAGTATCCACTATATCAGTAATGCAGTAATTATATCTGGTTCTATGGATAGATCATGTTCAAAAAATGTTACTGAAGAAGTGTCAGATATAGACCAAATGTTATATGACAAGATAGAAATGATATTGAAAGTAGATAATTATTTAGAAAAGGGAGTTTCACTGGATCTACAAAAGAAACAGACTGGTTTTTAAAATTTAAAATGCAAATGATAAACCAAGAGAATGACCTGGATAATTTTTTTTCCTACTGTATTTACAGAAGGGGCTTGTTAAAGCCTTTGAAGAACTCTGTATGAAGAAACAAAAAAGAAATGAAATTAAATCCTGCAACAATATTTGAATGATTAAGACTGTTAGAAGTAAAAGGAAAGAGTATAAGGTTGGTTTATTTTATCAAGATTAAAATAAGATACATTGTTACTTATGGCTACCTTTTTTGGACTTTCCACTGACACCAGGACTGAAAAGATGATGTTTTATGGATTTGTTTATAGATAAGTGATGGGATATGAGATAAAGAGATAAATATCTGTAACATTCCATTCTCTGATTGCTTCAGCAATCATGTTGTTGAAGCACATCAGATTAACACCAATTTTTAGTTTGAGAGTAAAGAAGCAATACTATAAAATTGGGACAACTAAGAACAACTTTAAACTGCCTTCATGTGTCATGAAGACATGGCCAAACATAACATCATGAAATGTTTGCACTGCAGCTAGGAAAAGTGAGATTTATCAATTTTATTCTACCGTAGATAGGCTACCAAACTGTGCATGGATTAAATTATATGTATCCTTTCTTTGCCATCAAGTAATTTGGATTTTTTGCATCTCAGATATGGTTACCCTACTCTGCACAATTAACTTTGCTGAAGGTGCAGGAAAACAGGTGTTCTCCTAACTTTCGCTATATTTATTGCACTATGAAGGTCTCTGTTGAACTATCAGATGTGAGAAAATTCACATCACCATTAGATGACTGAATGGAACTACACTTGTAAATTTATTTTTGTGACCAAGCGGTGATCCTCCGGCTTGCTGCAACATAACCCTAACATAGAAATGTTAATCCTAGAAGGATTTTAGGATTCAACTGTAATTCACCTTGCGCTATTACTCCACTGAAAAGCTGTATTTAAAGCAGGTGTTGGAAGATGATTCACTCTTCTCCTAGAAAAAAGAAAAGAAACTCAAAAAATATTAAAAGAACAGGAAAATTCCCCTAAAAGAAAATAAGCAGAAACTCAGGCAGAAGTTTCAGCCCCCACCTTTGTCAATGGGCCATTAAGAAGCTAAAGCCACCCTATTTTCCATAACCAAGGAAGGACAAAATTACAGGGGCCGTAACATCCAAACAAGTATGGGACACAGAAAAAAGCAAACAACCAAAAAGGAAAAGAAATCAAGCCAAAGTAATTAGTATTTTAAACACATGAGAAAAGAAGATATTCACTAAAACACAGTAATAGCAAACTGATTAATTATAGGGAACGAACAACTACAAAGGGCTAGGAAAAACAGAGAGTGGACTATAAAACAATTACTTATTTGCCAGATTCAGGACGGAAGAACCCAAATCACAAAAAAGCAGGATTTAAACACCATAAAACAATCACACACACAAATCAAAGGATTCGCATGCCAAATCAAAAGAATTTCAAAAGACTTTAAAGGGTCACACAGAAAATCAAAAGACGTTTTAGGATATAAAAAAGGGCTATTCTTACAGTTCAAACAGGCTAGCCTCGGAATGCTGTGCTTGTATTTGTTTCTTGCCTGCCTTCCTATAAACAATAAACTAATTTTGCTCTCAAGCTGCTGACCTCCAATCATTTCGAAATAATCTCCCAGCCGGGAGTTTTGAATTCAAGAAGGGAAAGCTCTGCCTTCCAACAATCCTTAAAGGAAAAGGCTTCTTTTTTCCCTTCCAACAATATTTAAAGCAGGGATGTCCAAACTTGGGAACTTTTAAGACTTGTGGACTTCAACTCCCAGAATTCTGGGAGTTGAAAGTCCACAAGTTTTAAAGTTGCCAAGGTTAGAAATCCCTGATTTAACCTAAATGTAATGAGAGCGTCAATATATATATATATATATATATATGACTGATTCTCGCGATTTTACACGAGTGTCTTGTGCCTTTAAATTGGTGCCCGGGGACGACGGGGATTTGCGTTTTTGACGGCCGGCAAAAATAAAGGGAAGTGACTCTGCCATTCCCTTTAATTTCTTCTTTTTTTCCGGTTTCATTTAAAGGGGATGCGTGCGCATGGGAAGAGAACAGCAGCCCAAGAGAAGAGAAGCGGGGCGGGGGGAGCTTTCCCCAACCGCTTGTTCACGGAGCGAAGGAAGCTAAAAGTTGCGAAGGGCCCGAGGGCAAAAAAAACAAAAAAAAAACCCTTTCGTGTGAAAGTGAATGGAGAACAGGTACAGGTGAGAATCCATCCTTAGAAGCGGGTAGGCAGCCGCCGGACAGGCTCCGTTGTTCTGCCCAGGGATGATGAGTAGTAACTTCCATGCCTTTGGGGGACAAAGAATCCGAAGTGAATTGGGGGTGGCAGTGAATCCAGCTTGTAGTAAAGGGGGAGTGGGATGGGGGGAGACTCCCTGGCTTCTGGCACCGGGCACGCAGTTAGCCAAGCTTCGCGCTAGCTTCACTCGTGCAAAGCTTCGCCAGATCCGGACTATTGTTCTCTGCGCCCTCCGATTTCACAGCTGAAGATAGCGGATTTCGGGGTGGGGAGGAACGGCGCCGCTTATGTCCCTGGAACACCTGGTTTCTGTACACGTAAAGGCGGGTTTGGGAGGGGGAAGCGAAGGGAAGTGGGCCGACACGGGTTCTTCGGGAAGGTTGTGGAGGAGACAGCTCGAATCCCTCAGCTCCCTTGGGAAGGTTAGGGACAAGGTCTGCTGTTAAGCAGGGTGAGACTCTGTAATGATAGGTTTAGGGAACTGCCTGGGAAGTGATTGGAGTTGTAATCCAACCCATTGGGATGGGGCTATTGAGATTTCAAATGGCCTTCCCCTAGTAAGGGAGGAAATCTCAGCCAGTTTAAGTAGCAACTGGAGGTAACTGGACGTTCAAAAGCTGGCCTAGTTAAAAACAGAATCTGCCCTCCAGTACGGTTATTTATATTTAGCGGTATGGCATATCATACATGGACTAGCAATATAAATTAACATATTATCCAGTAGGGCTTTCAGAGGTTCTCCTGCTAGTCCGTTTTTCTGGGTTGGCAGAGAGGGAGGCTTTGTAGCTCACCCTGCTTCAACCTCTAAGAATTGGGGCACAAAGAAGACCCACAGATCAGCTCTGAGTCAGGACTGTAGCCTGCTGGCAGAGAATGATAGGAATTGTAGTGCTGAGGGCAGCTGGTTTAAGGGAAGCCTAGTAGGGACTCTCAACAAGTTTCTTGGTTGATGTGTGAGATATTTTTTTTACATTCATTCGGCTCAGAGCAGTGAGGTTCACACATCACATAAACTTTGATTTATTTGGTTTTGGCATCAACCTAAATGTATCAGCCAAGCCAATGGTGGAACCCAGACTGTGCTGAAATGCAAAAAGGAATTTAGTTCCTGGCAACATATAGAACACCATGTCCCAGATTTTTCTGGTGCTTTTGCTCATTATTGCTGACTTTAGTTGAAAACATATATTCTAGTAGCTGTTGATTTCTCCACAACTGTCAGGTTTTTTGTAAAAAGGTCGGGAAAAATGCCCTTGGTTTACGTTTGACTCCTGGGAGATAAATGGGTACAACCCCACACAATCATGCCATTTTCCTGGCAAGTGTAGGTGTTACTTGCCATTGTCTTCTTCCAATGTGCTAACCTACAGCTCTGGGGTCCCCCGGTGCTCCCTCCAACACAATTAGGTCAGCTTAACATCTGAACCTGGACAAAGGCAGCGGGGTGCTGTCATTGCTTGAGCAAGATAATGTTTAGCTGGGATTCATTATTTTGTTACACTGATATGTGGATCATCAGATATTAGGTGCCATTGAGTTATTTTGGGTTCCTAGCCACCACAGGGATCTTCTCCATAGATATCCTCTGGCCTAGGTGAATGAGTACAACGGCATGCATATGAATGAGGGGGGGGGGAATCAAATCTGGATGCCTTGTTTCTTGCCAAATCAGCTTCTCTTACTCCAGCACTTTTTTTTCTAAAATCAAGAAACCAACCACTAGACTAGACCTCTATTCTTCCTGCGAGTCCTGGCTTCCATTCCATTTGTTCCTGATTAGTTCTTGAAGTTTACATGTCTCCTTTCTGCCTCTTTCAGGGACAGATGCTGGGGACTAGCCAATGGAGATCCAGCTAGTAACAGTGAAGGAAGAGATTGGATCAGTTCTGCCCCCTGCGTGCCCCCTGTGCCAGGAAGACCTGCCAAGCCTTGCTGAGCCCCACGAGCAAATCCCTCAATGCCAGGCGTGCAGAAACCTCCTTTTAGAGCCTCAGAGCTGGTTGTCCAGCAGTATTGAGGCTTTGGTGCTCCCCGCTGAGAGGCCTTACAGCTGCTCTTTCTGCCCCAAACGCTTCAAGAGGGCTTCAGACCGACGTGATCACGAACGGGTGCATACCGGTGAAAGGCCGTATGAATGTGGCATCTGTGGCAAGCGCTTCACTCAGAGCTCAGTACTGTCTGGCCACATGCGCATTCACACTGGCGAACGGCCTTTCCACTGTAGTGTCTGCTTTAAATCTTTCAACAATGGCTCCAACTTCCGCAAGCACCAACGCATTCATGGCCCATCATCTGGGTACAGTGAAGAGAGAGTTGGTGGGAAGGACCGTGATTCTTTGTCTGGAAAGAAACTAGAGCAAATGGAAGAAGGAAAGGGTGGCAGAAATCTAAGCCCTACCCTTCTGTCAAAGCAAGACGGCTGTCAGCCCATCAAAGAGTTAAGAGAAGGTAAGAACAAGGCTGATCAAAACCTCCAAGGGAGGCAAAGTTGCTTTTATAGCACTAGGCTAAGCCAAGAAGACTACTGCACCAGCAGCCAAAGACAACCTGGTGATAGCAGGGATATATTCAAGAGGATGAGAGTGCAACAGGATGATGCGAGTCTTGATATTAATCTTGCTATAAGGCAGGACAGCCGAGATGGTCTTCAGGCAGATGCTCTGAAGCAGGCAACTGATAGCAATGGGCATACTGGGGAACTGGGCGGAAACAACTATTGCAGCTACAGCCAAGAAGCCCTTCCCAATGGCCACAGCTTCAAACAACTGCCAGAGGCAAGCGCTGAAAATCTCACAGAAGGCTCAAGGCAGAACAGAGCAGTGGGGAGCCACATTCAGGAAGAACAGAAGCAACTGGTCGACAGCTGCCCTGGTAAGTTACAGCTAGAGAGCGGCAGCAGCTGTGGGAAAGTCTTCTTGCCAGTTGGGGACAACAGGTGCTCTGCTCACAAGCCGAATCAAGAGAGCTCTGAGAGGGGCTTCGGGGTAAGGAGGCCAAATGGCCTCAGAGGGCTCAAGCAGAGCAGAGGGGGAAGTGGAGGTACAGAGATAAGGCAGAACGGTAGAGGGGGATGCGATGCAGGGGGACTCAATGAAAGCAAAACTTTAGTTTCAGAGCCAGAGGAAAACAATAGCCAGGAAGCTTCTCTCGGTGGCCTTAGAGAAAGAGAGCTGACCCAGGAGAGTAGCATCCATGGGGACTTTCAAACATGTGCCCCAGAAAAGTTGAATGTTCTCAAAGTAGAACCTACTTGGCCCAAAGATGACATAGACTGGGAAGATCCTGCCTCAGGAATGGATGACTCTGAAGGCCCTTCTCCCAGTCCGAAGGCTACAAGATCACCTCAGCAATTGGAGAATCTTGATCCATGTTCCGTATCTTGCAATGCCTGTGGGCCTCAGAGATGCCACTCTTTGCAGGACCAGCTTGGAAGCACTGCTCAGCATATGGAAGGTAAGGAGAGGCCCACTCCTTGTTTTCTTTTCCCAGCCCGTGAGCCCTCCGATGGACACGCACCGTCTATGCTTGAATCCAAGCCGTTTCTCTGCTTTGCCTGCCCCAAACAGTTCCGTCGTGCCACAGACCTGAAAGAGCATCTGCGAGTGCACACCGGCGAAAGGCCCTTTGGCTGCAGCGTCTGTGGCAAGCGGTTCACGCAGAGCTCAGCTTTAACTACTCACCGGAGACTGCACACTGGGGAGAAGCCCTTTGAATGTGCGGTCTGTTGCCGCCGTTTCAATAACTCCTCTAACTTTGCCAAGCATCGTCGAATACACGGGCCAGACAGCGCGGGGCATAGGAATAAAGCAGTGGAAAAAGAGCTCTGGAAGGTAAAACCACATTGATTTTGTTTTTCAGCATGAATTCCTACACTGAAAGGTAGAATGAAAAACCAAGGATGAGATGTGCTATTACAATACCGAATGCTGATCTTTAGTAAACAATTTTCCAGACAACTCAGTGCCTCCAGATGTTTGAAAACTCCATGTCTATAAACACCAGCCAGCATGTTCATAGTGGGCAGTTGTGCCCCAAATCATTGGAAAGCACTACATTGTCAGCTGGCACCTGGCATTTCATAAGCAGGTCAGTTGTACCCTGCTTTTCTTGACTTACTGCTTGATAATAGCAAACCAGACACCGGAGACTGCAATCAAATTCCAATTTCTGATTCCAGTGTGAATAACCATAGAAACTTAAAATGTAAAGGCAGAAGGAATGTGCAGATCTGTAATGCCCTTAAGTTTGATATCAGGCTTAAATTGAGTCACAGGGATCAGAACAGTTCCAGTTAATGTTTGGCATCATCTAGAAATCAAAATCATGTTCAGATAGTTCTCCACTTAACAATCACAATTGGGACCAGAATTTCTGTTCAGTATCATGCCCAACTTTTGCCACAGTTGTTAAGCAAATCACTGTAGTTAAGGGAATCTTGTGATTTTAGACAAATCTGACTTCATTGACTTGTTTGGAAGTCATCTGGGAAGGTTGCAAATGGTGATCACATGATCATGAGGCACTGAGACCATCATAAATGCATGCCACTTTCCAAGTGGCTGAATTTTGATCACGTGACCATAGGTTTGTTTACAATGGTCATAAATGTGAGTACTGGTTGTAGATCGCTTTTTCTGTGCTGTTGTAGCTTTGAACTGTTGCTAAACAAATGGTTGTAAGTGGAGGATTACCTGTTTATGAAACCCAAGCCAATGAACAGAAACCTTAAAGTTTGTACTAATGCCTGTTGCAGTTTCTAAAGCGGGGCACAGAATGGAAAGCAAGACCTGGTTAGATTTGGGGACTCCCTATGCCCTTCTTGCTAGCTCGATGGACTGTGTGTTCAGCCAGTGTGGGTAACACAAGATGCTGTGCAAATTCACCCAACCTGGTTAAGTTAGTAAATCATGGTTTTGTTAACCATAAACTAGCATGCTATTATGAACAGAGCCATGTTTTGGTCAGATGTCTGCACTTTCCTCTTACAAGAAAAAAATGTTATCTACAAATTTAAGGTACAGTACCTGGGAAGTGAATAGTTGTGTTTAATTTCTAAACTTACTGCCCTGGGCACAAGTCCCATGGAATTAAACTGGCCTTAATTCTGACTTTATATTTTACGTTGGCATGGAATATAATTTTGCAACACATGTAGCTTTTACAACTAACTCATTTTAATTATGACTATTTTCAACTAGGTATAAAATTATTTTAAAAATATATGCCGCAAAAGATTTAATAAAATTTTTACATTATGCCAATGAAGTAAATACTCTGTGTGTGTTTGTGTGTGTGTGTACATGCATGGGGAGTCTCTTGGCAAATATCCAAAGCCAAATATATTTTTGGACATTCTACTTTGTACTTTTAAGAGCCATGGTGGTGCAGTGGTTAGAATACAGTACTACAGGCTACTTCTACTGACTGCCTGCAATTTGGCAGTTTGAATCTCACCAGGCTCAAGATTGACTCAGCCTTCCATCCTTCTGAGGTCGGTAAAAATAAGGGCCCAGATTGTAGAGCACAATATGCTGATGCTGTAAACTGCTTAGAGAGGGCTATAAAGCACTGTGAAGCTGTATATAAATCTTAGTGCTATTGCTATTGTAAATCCAAGTATGTGAGAAAAAATAGTTTATATCAACACAATTGATCTACAAATAAATCTGATTGAAAATTCTATATAAAAAAACTGAATGATCTTTTTAAAAATAAATTGCTGTGTTGGTACCCAACATATTTCCAACTCAAATTCTCTTGTCAGTTTAGATACTTTTTTGTTAACAGCGGTTTCCCATTTTTAAAAGAACTTTATAAACTCTATAAACTTAAGATAAAATTATTTCTCAATTCTGCATTTTCTCACTGTTCTTATTTAATATAAACATTTCAAAACGTCCATGGTGGATTTTCAACTACTTTCTACATGAATTGCAAAATGACACTGAACAATGTCTGTACTATTCTATATTAGTCTCATGATATAAAATATATCCAGAAACCCCATTTCAATCTGGACTCTCAAATTTTTCTGCAATACTTCATCTCATCTCATTATTAATTTACAAGAATAGATGAGCATGCATAAATATTTCTAAACACTTTCTTTGCAAAAGGAATCTGATTTGTCTAATTTAAGAATAAGGTGATGTAAAAGAGATTGATTGTGGTGTCTGAAGCTCCTCCCACCTGCAGAAGAGGTTTTGAGGAAATAAAAGAATGCTCTGATTTGCTGGAGAAAACCAAGCCAAATCTCGAAGAACAATAAAAGCCCTTTTTCTCTGCAATAGAGAAGATACATTTGTACCAGGTCACCTTGATCTATCTGGCTGAGTAAATGCAGCTTGCTTTTGTTTTTTTTACACAGGATAGCAATGATTCAAAAGCATCTGCCATTGCTTGCTTTACTTTTCTTTTCTTCATTAGTTTGAGTATTATAAACCTAGTTATTCTGTGCTAATTCTAACAGTATACTCACATTGTTTGAAGGAATGTCCTCTTAACATCAGCTTGTAACACAACCTGGCTTAGAACAAACAATATCCAAATTCTTTTTTTTTAATGTTTGTTTAGTCTGTACATTGTAAATCAGACACTTTTAAAATGATTGCTTGGCTTAAAACACAAAACACATTCCCATTCCCCCACCCCTGACTGAGAAACACACGCTGTACAGTTCCCAAGGGGTACAATGAGGGAAGAAGGGAGAGGTTATCATTTTAGATCCATCAGCCGTGTGGACAAGAATGGGGTCCTATACATATCTTAGTACACATTATCATAGGGGCATAAACCTTGGCATTATTAAAAGAACTGCACTTCCTGCACTCTGGCCAATGGGAAAAGGAGGGGAGGTTATTAAAAAGAAGTATTTATATAGAAATGTATGTATTTATATATCTGTATTAATATAAAAAGTCATTAGCTAACATGATTGCAATGGGTTGGGTCCTATCAGTGGCATACTCTTCATTCTGAGTTTGCAATTGTCACTAGTTTGGGATTGTTCAAGTCCATCTCCCTCTATGAGATGAGAAAGGAGAGTACAGGACAATAGTACCAGTCAGAGAACTATAGAATCCATGTTCCTCAAAGAACAGGAGGGTTGAAGAAGTTCTGAGAAGATAGCTGTGTAGCAGGTGGCATCTCAAAAAGCAAAATCAGGTCTGATACCAGCAAAAGATGGAATATCTTCCCTGCCCTCTGCTTCATAATTCCAGGATGAAGCAAACAAAGCCAAGTGGACGGTGGGCATCTGTGGGATATCCAGCATCCTAGTGATGTACATTCAGGATTAACAATCCATCCAAGAACATACGCAAGGGAGAAAAGTACAGTGGAAAAGATGGTTGATTATTCTTGATTATATACTCCAAACCAACTGGTTCTTCAAAAGAACTCAATTTCCCAACCACAATTAAAAGCCAGACTACTTCATCTCAACAACCCACCATTCCCTTAAAAATTCTTCCCACACAACTCTGTCCATGGAATATTGCCTTCTAGCCCCTTATTCCGAACTTGACTAGTCCTCATACCTTCTAGATCAGCAGTTCTCAACCTTTTCTTCACCACGGACCTCCTTTAAATACCTTTTGTGGCCACTAACCATGGCCACAGACCTCCAAGACTTAAGATTTAAATTCATAAGCCATCGCAGACCCACTATGATGACATCGTGGCCACACAGGGATCTACGGACCACAAATTGAGCACTACTGTTCTAGATAAACTGGAGATTCTACGTATTTTGTCACTAATACGTTTTGAAGTGCATGAATTGCACCTGCTAACAAATCCAACAGAGGAAAGATTTGGACAAATCAAATGGTTCCTAGGATGAGGAATGGATGCAAATAATCCTGACAGTAATAGTGTTCAGATATGTCCCTAATAACTCTGCCCATCCATCTTTTAAGTATTTAATTTGCTAGAAAAATAGAAAAGGCAGCTATTTTGCACTCTCAGTTTCTTCTCTTTGTCAACTATACATTGGAAGAGTAAATATATTTCCACTTTTGCCGTTTTCAGATTGTAAGTACACGTATTATAAGAATTAGTTAAGATCCACTAATTTCTTTTAAGTGAGATCATAAAAATAAACATACTTGGATGGCTGTCCTGTCTTCTGACTAGGAAATGGGCCACCATTCTGAATTAAGAAGCAAGACCTAGCCAAATACGTTTGCACCAATTCTGTGACTGAAGCAAGCATTCCATAGGCATACACAATCATAAAATTTGTGTCCTGTATTCTAGCCCTGCCATTTTAAAGAAATTCTTTAGAAATCCTGTGTCCTTGAGAAAAAGACATAAATTTAATGATTTTGGGAACACAGTATGTTTTTCGATCAACTTGTTTCTCCATTTTATATTCCATTGTCCATTTGGGAAGCTATTATGAAGCCAGTTAACAGGAACATCACCTATTGATTAGTCATGGTGAACTCACCCCCTCAAGAATATGAAGGAATCGGTGATATTAACCAATAACACCATTTCCTGTAAGAACAAGTTCCCAGTTTGGGGAGTTGTCAAGGAGGCTTCTAAATTGTATACAATTTAGAAATACTTAGTCCAGGAAAGCACGGACAGTACATATGAGAAGGAAAACTAATACAAATAGTCCTTGACTTACAAAACAGTTCATTTACTGATCGTTTGAAGTTACAACAGCACTGAAAAAAGGGACTTATGACCATTTTTCACACTTACAACCATTGCAACATCCCCATGGTCACGTGATCAAAGTGACCTCATATTTATGACAGTTGCAGTGCCCCAGGATCATGGGATCACCTTTCGTGACTTCCTGCAATGGGGAAGCCAGATTCACTTAACAACCGTTACTAACACCTGCAGTGATTCATTTAACATCTGTTTCAAAAAAGGTCATAAAATGGGGCAAAACTCACTTAGCAAATGTCTCACTTAGCAACAGAAATGTTGGGCTCAATTGTGTTCGTGAGTCGAGGACTACCTGTATTAAACTCAGTTCTATTTGCAAATTATGAAGGCAGGGAAGAAAAATTCTAAATGGGGAAAACAATTTCTGTAAGACAGGCTGAGGTATAGCCACCCCAATTCGCTGAATTTCAGTGACAAATTCAGACCTTTAACAATTTAGTAAGAAGATAAAACAAGAAAAGGAACATCCAGTTGCAATCACTCCTGGAGATAGAAGAGGAACTGTCTGAATGTTTCAGACAGATGCTAATCTAATTGGGCTGACTCAAAATGAAACGACATTATTTGGCCCCCTGTGCTCAGATTCCAATAATCTGGAAGGCTGAAAAACATTTTAGTCTTCTTCCCGTCTCTTTTCCCATCTTTGCACTCTTCATCATACTATATTTGGCCACCAAATTCTGTGGCAACTCCTTCAAGAAAGCATTTGTAATAGGGCCTTTCACAAATACTGACACTACCCACCCTCCCCAATATTCTCGCTGAGCATAGAGAGTGGAAAACTATTGTAAGACTTCTGAGGGATTGGGGGAGGCTGCCTTAAGAAATACCTGCACTCAATAAACTCCAATTCTATTCTCTACTGCTCAAAAAGCCTTTGGCAACTTTTCTTTTTCTAGGCACTGGACAACCAAATTTAAACAGTACATCTTTGGATCCTCATAATCATGGATTGCCACTCAGCAATCTGGGGACTATGGGTGTGAGCAAGTGGGTGGTAGACCAAAAGCAACACTAAGGAGCTTTGGTGCAGCCATCTGGTAGAAGAGATGCTCTCACTTTGCTAGAGTGGAAATGCTGAAATTACTTTCTATTGTACTCTCAGCTTGGGTTATAAGAGGGGAAGGAAGCGGGAATTACCTGTGTAGTGTCCACTGTACACAAGGGAGCCTGTTTTTAGAACTCTTTGGTTGCATCTAGCAAATTAGTTTCCTCTCCAGTCTATTTAAAGGGGTGCTCCAATGTCTGCAATTTGCTGGAGGATTGAGGAGGAAAGGTAACTGGGGGAAGTCAGAGAACTTTACTCATCTCTGGTCAGCATTCTCCCCTTCAGGTGCAGTGAGGATCCATTCAGACTGGTGCCAAATATGTATAAAAGGAGGCTTTGCATTTCTTCAGATTTGATAAGGTGCTTCGGAGTGCTTGGGGCAATGAACATACCACCAATTGGTGACTTTTAGACATCCCCAGCAGTCACACAATCCCTGATGCTGTGTTTGTGCTTTGAAGAACCTTTTTTGGAGTCAAACCTGAAGCATTATATGAGTCTAATAACCATGGAGTTACAAGGCGAGGGCAGTTAGCTCAATGAACTATGTGGATACACCATATCTTACTAGGAAAGGCTTATGAATCAAACCAGGGAATGCAGGAGAGCAGCTGAGCAGCCAAAGCACTGTGCAATCCTGGTAGACCCACCAATTAAGTTTATTTTTCTCTCACACACAATTTCATATCCAACTTTCATTGGTGGGAAGAAGGAAGGCTAACATTAGGGAAGGCTAACAATGTAGTCACAGCTCTCATTCAAAACCCACATTCCATTTTAGGGCTCAAAGTAAGGTATTATTCACACACGAGTTCATCTATATTAAGTCCAACAGATTAGGAAGAGCGTTGAGCACAAAGGAAGAGAGCTAACCCAAGGGGGAAGGAGCCTAGCCTACTTTTGTGTTTCCTCTTTACTCCTGATGGGCCAACTTGAACATTTAGAAAAGCACATAATACAATTATCCTGGGGTTTTGCTTCTTCAGGGGTGTATAATGGGAACAATAACAATTCCAAATGCTTTTTAACATTCAGTGCTCCTTAAATGTGGAAAGTAGCATGCCAGGGAAGCTTGGCTAGAAACCTTCTGGGAAACTTTTCTTTTGTAGGTAAAGTTTTTATGAACCTCCAGTTGCATCATGAACTGGTACTGTTCTGGAGGCAGGAATATAATAGAAATGTTATGGCACAACAGTATTTAGACAACAGGTGCCACACACTAGACAATTCAAGCAGATTCTGTTAACTTTCTACTGTCCACAGCCATGTCTCACTACCTTCCCAGGTCTTAAAAAATTGAGAACTAGCCTATTTTCTTTATACATATGAAGAAAGGACACTAATTAAAGTCTTTCTCTCAAGAATGCAAGCAAGGCTTACCTAATACAGATTACATAGTTGAGTTTACACAAAAGATTGGTGGACATTCCTCAAGTGCTGCATCGTAGTCCTTCCTGTCTCATTCCCAAATGAATGAATTAGGTCTAACATTTCTCTCTAAGTAAAAGGGGATTACAGGAAGCACCATCTCTTCTTGTGAACTGGAATGCCATACCGTTTCCATTCCAGAACGTAGGCTTCAAATGAAAAGGAAAAAAAATGTCATTCCACCATAACCTTATTTGCTCCCATTTGCTCAGAAATGGGAAGAAACTTTCATCCCCCAAAACACTGTGGCCATGCTTGACAGGCAAAGGTCACTTCTATGATTGCTATCTCCATCTCCCTTTCCCCAGGCAATTAGTTTAAAAATCCAGAGTGGTCAAGATATTCTGTTAGAGAGCTGAAATCTAGCAAGTAACTGGCGGCTACCTCTTGTTAATTACATATCCTAGCTTTACAATTCATTCTTGCCTCTATCTGGCTTGTCCTGCTCATGACTTTATGATTTGATGACTCATCCAAATTAGTGCCCAATTGGAGCATCTCACTGCTAACAAGCACATCTTATTTTCTATTCATGAAAATGCCTTGCCATTGTGGTTCCCAGAAACCTGGAACTAGTTTCACATCCCATCCTACAGTACCAAGATACGGACCACCCATTTTTTTTTCCTGCTGCTACTATTCCAACATTAGGGCTGTTCCTTATGGGCCCCCATGGCAGCAAAGCGCTCCATCTTATGAATGTGGCGGTGCTTTTTGAGGCCGTAAGTATTGGAGAAGGCTTCTCCGCAGGTGCTGCATTTGAAGGGCCGCCCTCCCTGATGGGCCTGGAGGTGTTTGCTAAAATATTTGGGGTCTTTGAAGAGCTTGAGGCAGGCCCCGCATCTTAATTCACGCTTAGCATCATGGGAGCGTTGGTGACGCAGAATGGATGACAGGTAGAAGAAGCTCTTGGAGCAGCGGTCACAGCGGTAGACTTTCTCTCCCAGGTGGACCCGCTGGTGTTCCAAAAGGTTGCTACGGTAGCGGAAGGTCTTGCCACAAGTAGGGCAGCGCTGAGGCCGGGCAACTACATGAAGACGCTGGTGTTCTGCCAGACTGGATGACTGGGCAAAGCGCTTGTTGCAGAGGGCACACTTGTAAGCACGCTCACCCGTGTGAACCACTTTGTGTTGGCGCAGGTACCATGAGCGCAGAAAACCACGGCCACAGACAGCACAGCGGTACGGGCGCTCCTCGGTGTGGCAGCGCTGGTGACGCATGAGAAGGGCAGCCTCCCAGAAGCGCTTGCCACAGACTGGGCAAGAGAAGTGCCGCTTTTGCAAGTGTGTGCGACGATGCAACAACAAGTCATAAGCTCCAGCAAAACTCTGTCCACAGACCGAGCAGGCCAATGTGCGACGCACCAGATGCACATACTTGTGAGTCACAAGTCCCAGGAAATGCTTGAAGGTCTGGCCACAGATAGAGCAGGAGAAACGTTCTCCACTTGGCAAGGTTGGATGATCTTCATAAGATGACATGTTCTCGCCACTAGCTAGCCCGTTCTCTAGTGGGGCGACAGCAGCTGCTGTTTCATCTGGTGGTACAAGTCTCTCAGGAGCAGCTTGATGGACAAGTTTGTGCCACATGAGATTCTCAATGAAACCAAAACATTTGCCACAGACATCGCAAGGGTAGGGCTTCTCGGCCACATGGACTTCCTTGTGGCTCATGACATGAAAAAGATCAGGAAAGCGCTCTCCACAGTCAGAACAGCCATAGGTTAGTCCCTCAGGAGGTGGAGGGAGAGAAGGGCCCATGGGGGTCAGGGAGGGACCCATAGGTGGTAAAGAACAAGGTAGCTGTAAGCGGTGAATCTGTTTGTGCCGAGTTAAGCTTTGGGGGTAACCAAACACTTTCCCACATATTTCACATTTGTACGGCCTCTCCCGAGTATGCACTACATGGTGTTTGCTGAGGTGAAAAGATTCACGGAAACGTTTCCCACATACAGCACACTGGTGAGGCTTCTCACCTGTATGGATCCGCTCATGACGCTTTAGTGTCTCCCGTCGCCCAAAGCCACGACCACAGATCCCACAGCAGAAATTCTTGCCTGCTGCTGTCCCCACCAGCAAGGGGTGGGCACCCAAGAGGCCATAGGATGTTGGCTTGGTGTCTCCCTCAGAGCCTGTGCCTTGTGGGTCTTGTGGAAGAAGGTAGGCCCCTGGTGGCAGATAAGACAAGGTATTAGTGCCATCCTTGGATAGCTGGGCACCCTCGTGTTGGAGCTGCCGATGACGTAGTAGATTCTGGGGAGCCACATAGCCCTTGCCGCAAATGTCACATTTGTACTCGGGTCGTGGAGGTAAAGTTCCAGGAGGAGCGTGAGTGGCCTGGTGCTTGAGGAGGTAGGAGGCATCCCGGAATTCTTTGCCACAAACCCCGCACTGCACTCGCAGCAAGTCTGAGTGTGTCCGCACGTGTCGTTTTAAGCTCTCACGGCGATTAAAACTCTTCTGGCAGACGGAGCAGGAGAATGGCTTCTCACCAGTATGGATAATCTGATGCTGGTGAAGGTGACTTGGCTTTTTAAACACTTTCCAGCATAGAGAGCAGGTAAAAGGACCTTCGGCTTGAGCTATGGCAGCACTGAGGGCAGATGTGGCTATTCCTCCAGGTGGTGCAGATACTGACTGAGGGTTGCCACTTTGGGTAGGAGGCTGGGCTGCTCCTTCAGCACCAGGTGATGTTATGCTGGCGGCGGCGGCGGCAGCAGCAGCAGCAGCAGCCACCACATTGGCAGCTGCTACATTGACGGCCGCAGCGTTGGCAGCAGCTGCATTAGCAGCCGCAGCATTGGCAGCAGCAGTAGCATCCTCAGTGTCTTTGTGACAACGGCGATGCCGGATGAGGCTGGAGATATGGTTATAAGTACGGCCGCAGGTGGTGCATTCGTACGGCCGCTCGCCTGTGTGCACCAACATGTGTTGCACAAGATGGGATGACTGCTTGAATGACTTCTGGCACACACCACATGGGAAGCGCCGATCAATGAAATATTTCAGTCGACGGAAATAGTTCTTATCGTCTTTGCCTGCTTGACTGTCAGGAGTTACTGTGGCTGCAGCTGATGGGGGGGCCTGCCCACGTTTCAGGCTGCTGAAGATATGCTGGTGGCCAGAAAGGTCTACTATGCCCCACTGTGGAGTGTTGTAAGCTGCAGCAGCTGCTGCTGCTGCTGCTGTACTGTCAAAGAGAGGCTGACCTGTTGTTGGTACCACGGCTGGAGTACTGTATGGTGGTTGCTGCTGCTGCTGCTGCTGCTGTGGAGGTGGTACAGGGCCCCCTGGTTCAGCTTTCTTGACTTGAATGGTACCAGATGAGGTGGCTGAGGAAGAAGAGGATGGGCCCTCAGCTTTGGGTTTAGATGTGCCAATGGTGGCAGGGACACGGTCAAAATGAGCAGGTGGACCAGCTGTCGGTGGCTGGGCGTATTCATACTGTGGCTGTGGGCAGGGCAGGGCAGCAACGGCTTTGGCGTGTTCGTGGTTGTAGGCCTCCATAGGTTCAAAGCGCTGGTGGTTCAGGAACTCCAAGAAGTCAAAAGGGTAGCTCTGGAAATGCACACCCTCATCGCTTGCTGCATTGGCTTCCATCTCCACCCAGGAGGGGGCACTGCCTAGAGAAAGGGGACAAAGACTATAGCAATATATATACAGGATACAGGTTATCCATATCAGCAGCTGCAGTGGCATAGTGTGTTTTCTTGTAATGTCAGAGACGCAGTGAAAGAAAATATAATAGACTTAATTTATTGTCCATCGGAAGATAATTTGGCTGACCTCATGACAAAGCCAATGGATATAAGAAATACATATATCTTGCAAAACAATTTGGTTTAAATCGTGTCCAGCTATAAATTGGAGGATGTCAAGATATTTAAAAATTTAATAGCTGGAGCAGTGAAGGGTTGGGCAATGAGTAAGAACACACAATTATAGCTCAGATTTCCTCATGTGGTGGCCAACTCTCTTTAACCAATTAGTTAAAGAGAGTTGGCCACCACATGAGGAAATCTGAGCTATAATTGGAATAAAGGGTTTTTTTCTTGTTTCCTACCTTTTTCCTCTTTGTACCATCTATGCTCTCTGTAATTTACGTCATAATATTCCTGCTGTGTTGATTTACCTGACGTTTGCCTATCTTATTTACTGTGTGTGTATATAATATATATATATATATATATTTATTTATATAAAAATATTAAAATACTAACAGCGGAATACAAAACTTGTTCTGTACAATTATGAGTTAGAAAACATTAGCTGAATAAATGTTACAACAAAAATTCCTGTGGGATCTAAGAATTAAAACAAATATCATCACAGAACTTTCATAGATCAAATTTGTGAAGCTAATTATACCATGTTTTATATCTCACAACATGCTTCATATATGTGAAGATATTTCACATTTCAATTGTGAAATATCTTCACAATTATATATATTTCTCCTTTTTTCCAAGTTCTTGTAAAGTATTAGAAAAATGGACTAGAACAGCATGGAAGAATTACATTTTAATTTAATATTTTGCTGTTTTAAAAGAAAGGTATTAATCCATCTAATTTCAATACAAAACTACATTTTAGATGTGGCCTCAGCTTTCCCCCCCAAATGTCTTGCTTAGTTACCAAGAATGATGAGAATGGCAGTCCAAAACCATCTGGAACGCTCTTGCTCGGTTATGAAGCAGAAGTTTAATATAAGTAATGCATTGAACAAATGATTCAAAGGCAGCCATGGAAAACTGGAAAAGATGCAGAGGGCTCATTTAGAGATTTCAGAAACCTATGCCTCCTATTTCCCATAGTTGCTCTCTACAATATGTCTATGGAGATTTTCAGTCATCCAGGTAATGGTTGTCCCAAAGGTGCTTTTTTCAAGAGTCCAGTTGCCTCTTGAAGAAAGCACCTTTGGAACTCTCTACACAGTATGTTCTGCAAAACAGCATCTTTGTATAAGAGGAATAATAGAACTGCAGTCCTACATATAGAGCCACAAATGTTGTCCTTCCATTTTAAAAAGCTGAAGTATACTGATTTTAATTGTATTTGTTTCATGACATACTTCAATTCTCAAAAGATCTACCATCCCAGGAGGTTTATTAGCAAAGTATTTAAATAAAGGCCTCTTTATACCACCTATTAAATGATTTCTATGACAGCTAACAATGATCATAAATGAATACAGTCGATTATACAAAATAGTATATTTGCCTATGGATGGGACAGTAAAGCCTTGCCTTTTCAAGATTCGTTCCTATTAAAGCAGCTTTGCCGAATATGGTATTGTCAAATATGCTAGGTTAGCAAATCAAAATTCAGTCCAATTTAGTGGGCATCACAGGATAATAGAGGACTGTGGCCACAATCCAAGACAAAACGATTCCATAAAGATACTACACACCCTAGGTATGCATTGAAGACTTTAACAACTATAGGAAACACAAACTAGTTTGGTCAAATGGGCTTACAGTACTTTGCATTTTATTTCAAAATACTGCTCCACTGTATCTATCTGCAACTCTTTTAAAAGCAGTCACCTCTTTCCTAGGAATCGTATAACTACAGAGAGCAGCTATGCGAGTCAGGAAAGGTACAGGTATGTTCTATATTCATGCGCCTAAGTATTTTCTCCAAATAATTTCCAAAATGTTCCTCAATCTTAAGTGGACCTTTTCAATTGTTTACTTTGTCCATGAACTGAATGGCATATGATTATTTCTTACATTTCTGAGCTACTATACAAATGATCCCCTTGCTTCATGGAGGGAATATATTATGTTAGTATTAATTTGATAAGCCATTCAGTACCATCTTCACTCATGTTTGTTAGCCTTAGGATATAAAAGAAGGCTTTTTCTTTGGGAAAAGGTTTAGGAGATAACAAATGCCTTGTGTGTCATTTCTACGAAGCACAAAAAAAGCCATGGCCTACAATAGCATCACACACATCTGTATTCTCGCCATTTACACATACTGGTATGCTGCATTTCTTCATATATAGAGCAAACATTATATGTGTGCATGCAACAAGTGGCATGCATGGATGTTTCACATGCAGTGATTTACATGTGGCTTTCATGCGAATAGCTTGATCTGTGAGCTGAATGGAGATATCTGCCAAAAATAAAAAATAAAAAAGAGCCAGGCAAAGCAATAGGATAGATTATACAGCCCAATGAAGAGTTAGAATAAAAAAGTAGCTCTGTGAAGGTTATCTACTTTGCCGTGCTCAATGATTCACCTTCAATACTTTTTTCAGTTAATTGTACTTAATTCAAACTTTACTGTAAGCTATGTCCAGGGCTTATATAAATAGAAAGGAGGGCTATACATTTTAATTTAATTTAACTTTTATTTATTCTCAAGAAATTAAGATACCAAATTATCACTTTATTTACCCTTTACTGCACTTAATGAAAAACAAAGAGGTTGAAAAAGGTTGTCATCCAGCTCCATCCCACTTTATCAATATGGATGAATTAATCACATTTTTTCCTATTTTAGCAAGGGCACTGAGATATAATGCAACCTCAGATGAAAGTTTGGGAATCAATCCCTGGGACTCTCAAATAGAAGAATATGTCACAGCAAGAAGTGAACAAAATCCAGTTTCCTGAAAGGGAGTCTTCTACTACAAACGTCTTTGTTTAATGTCAAAAAGTTGTACTGAAAGCAAAAAAGTAAAATACCTAATGTTGTGCTATACATTAATATTCATATTAGTAACAGTGTGATTCAATGATTTAAGGAATTGGACTGACATCAAGCTCAAATCTACTAGATTTGAGCTTGATGTCTAGATTTGAATCTGAGTCAAATTTACTAGAGCAGTGGTCCAAGGAGGGAATGCCATGTATAACTGGTTTTCTGTTAGGTATAAATCAAATAAATTATATGATGCCTCATTAGGAAGAATTTAGGTTTATATTAAATGGCCCCAGTGAAGTTAGTTTGGAAACAACAAAATATAGTTAGTTCTCAACTTACAACCACAATTAAGCCCAAAATTTCCATTGTTAAATGAGATAGTTGTTAATTTTGTCCCATTTATGACCTTTCTTGCCATTGTTGTTAAGTGAATTATGGCAGTTATTTAGTTAGTAACATGGTTGTTAAATTAATCTGGCTTCCCCACTGATTTTACTTGTTGAAGCTTGCAAAAGGTGATCACATGACCCCTGGACACTGCAACCGTCATAAATATGAGTCAGTTGCCAAGTGTCTGAATTTTGATCATGTGACCATGGGGATGCTGCCATGGTTGTAAGTGTGAAAAATGGTCATGTCACTTTTTCCAGTGCCATTGTAACTTCAAATGGTCACTAAATGAACTGCTGTAAATCAAGGACTACCTGTAGTGAGAAAAAAGATGCCAGGAAGGGCAAAATAAGTGCTAATAAAGTTACATCAGGATAGACTGAAAGTGGCTGGAGAGTCTTGCTGAATTTAAGCAAAGGATGAAAAGAGGGCTCTTAAAAACAATATCTTCTGCAGCAGTAGAATATAGAGGTCAATTTAAACAGAGTGAAGAATTGCAATATTTGAAATGTGAACTCGGTAAAAATCAAGAATTATTAGTTCTATTTTTACTTTTCCTCTGATTGTTCGTAGTTAAGTAATACATACAGTTAGGCTTTGACTCACAACCATTTGTTTAGTAACCATTCAAAGTTACAAGGGCACTGAAAAAAGTGACTTATTACTATTTTTCACACTTACAACCATGGCAGCATCCCTGTGGTCAAGTGATCAAAATTCAGATGTTTGGCAACTGGCATGTATGGATGATGGCTGCAGTGTCCTGGGGTCATAAGATCACCTTTTGCAACCTTCTGACAAGAAAAATCAATGGGGAAGCCAGATTCATTTAACAACCATGTTACTAATTTTAGAACTGTAGTGATTCACTTAACACCTACGACAAGAAAGGTTGTAAAATGGGACAAAACTCACTTGCTGTGTCTTGCTTAGCAATGGAAAATTTGAGCTCAATTGTGGTTTTGTGTCAAGAACAATATACTTCATTGTTAGCTTCTCTTTGAATAGTTTAAAAAAATCATTTCACTTCACTGTCTGGACTTAGCCATTAAAACCCACCCTTAAAAAAGCATTGTGAGGAGACACATTTTTTCCCCATGGCAAAATATATATTTAAAGTAAGAAAGTATTTAAATTCTTCACTATTGATCAATTCAATAGTGAACTTTTGAAATTCACTGTTTTTGAAAATTATCTTTCAATCTGTTTGAAGATATGAAAATATAATGTAGCTAACAAGTAAATGAAGAATAATTTAACTAACAATACAATCATGTGCACGCTGCATCCTGCAACAGAAAACATACACACTGAAAAGAAAATTAATGCTATATAGAGGCCAAGAGGCTTAATCAAATTTCCAGTGATGAATGCTGTACTCCTTATTGCTCTTGTTTCGTTCTACAGGTAAAAAAGAAATCTGTATCAATATATTTGTTACAAACAAACCAACAGGTAGGTTGGAGATTTTCAAAGCAAAATTGCACCACCTTTTATTAAGAAATGCCTGAGGTAAAAGAACATAAATGATCTCTTCCCAAAATGCTGCAGTTATTCTCTGCAATAGGTACATCGAAGTCTAGGAAAGTTGGCTTTTAAAAGTAGACATATCCTACAACACCATGCAGAAAATGGGCAAGAGGAATGTATTGAGTATTTGGTCTATTTTAGCTAAAGAGTAAATGAGAACATCTTGCATACAGCAATGTAAGACAGAGCCAATCCAATTAGTAAAAACAAAAAAAATGCAGTTTACTTATGTGCTTTTCTGACTAATAAGATGTAAGAAGGAGTTAAAAGTCTACAATCTGTTACAAAGCAGACAGAATAAATATGAAACATTCTTTTCCATAACAAAGATAAGGTGGGCAGAAAAAATAAGGCTAATAAATTAAAGCCAACAGAATATTGCAAGACAGTCTTGTGGGCTGATTAGAGAGGGATATCTTCCTGCAACTTGTTACTAAAATATCCAAACTAGGGAGGTGCTACTATCTTCATAACTAGGCTTGTGAAGGACGTCCATCTGGATCACTGAAGAGCTATTGCAGAAACGGGGGGAAAAAAACCTTAGCTTTGTTGCCTTGAATTATATTTCAGTGCAAATCCATTCATTCCTAGGAACCATAATGTTTACAGGAGTTGCAGTCCAAAACATCCAAGTATTAAGATGGAGAGAGCTGCTATAGACAAAAGTAATTTTGTTAGACCCAACATCCAATTAGGCACCGTCCTACATTCCTAGAATTTTTTTTTAAAGAGCTGGCAGACAATTAAAAAAAAAAGATGGAGTTGAGATTAACATTTGAGGCAAGTAACAAAATTGCAACTTTCTGGGTGAGAGAGAGAGAGAGAGAGAGACTGTACAATACGTTTACAGGCTGGATGAAGGTATATGGAAAATATTTATTTTATGGGAAAGAATATGGAGCCTGGCTATCTTTTCGAGGTCTACCTTTGGTGACTCTGGGTGGCTTTAAGGACGGAATGGGAGGACAGTCGTTTATTGAGCGGCAGAATTTCGGGGCTGATCTAAGGGCACAAGTCCAGATAAAAGGATTATATAGCACAACTTTCGCCGGGTCGGTGGGGAGAGACGACGACAAAGCGCGGGCTTTCGGTTCGAGGTTGGGGGTGGGGCGGGGCAGTTTTTAAGAGGCAAGGACGGGGCAAGAGGGAGAAGACGGGGATGGGGGGGAGGGAGAAAGGGCGCCAGGCTGGAAAGCAGCGTGTGCCGGACGGGGAGGTGAGTCAGGATCGCAGAATAGCCGGGGTGGGGCTGTTCAAAGGGAGCGGAAGTTAACCATAGCCGCGCGCTGCGGTTTTTTATCCGTGCGAGGGTTTTTTTTTTTTTTTTTAATCTCGCCTTGGGGGTCCAGGGAGGGGGGGGGGGGGGGGGGGGGGGGGGGGGAGGAAGGGGGGTAGAATCGAAGGGCCAAGAGTGGGCTCCATGGTGGCACTCACCGGTGTGTGGCGCTGCCCCAGCCTCCTCCGCGCCCCAGGCAGGGGCTGGTCCTTGGATAGCAAGATTTAGAGTGGGGGGATGATGCCCCCTGGCCCTTCCCTTACCCCCAGGATACGCGGGGGGGGCGTTTCTGCTCCCTCACGGGTGGGGGTAGGGGGGGCACTGCCAGGCTGCAACTCACACAGGCCCAGCCGGAACCGGAAGTTTCCCTCCCCAAGCAAGAGCACCGTTTCCTGCTCTGCCCTCCCTCCCGTACCCACAGGCCCCTGCGAAATTCTACTCCTTTCCCTCCCCGCTGCCCCCTCCCTCCGCCTGACTCGTTTCCCAGAGCCCCACGCGCTCGCCCACTTACCCTCCCTTTCCCCCCTCCTCCGCCCCCACCCCGAGGGTTCTGAATCGTCGCGAGAGCTGGGAGGTCTTCCCGGTCGCCTTCCTCCTATTTATCGTTATTTCCCCCCACCTTTTTTTTTGGGAGGGGGGGTACAGCGCCCGTGCAGAGAGGAAGAAAGCCTTGCAGCCCTCTTAAGCGTTGTCAGCGGATCGGTGCAAATGTGTGCGAGCTGCTTGCTTTCCTTCTGGGCTTTAAAGTAGATTGACAAGGAGAAACCTCAATAGGCACAGCTCTTTTTTTTTTTTTTTTGGTCATGGCATGGAAATAAAGGAAATGAGTAAATGGTACTTCTGTAACTCTTATCCTGAGGATACCTGTCCCTAAAATTACGGGGCTGTGCATTAAATTGCTGGGAGCACTATTGTTTCGGCTTGTGTCTGAGCCACTGCGTTATCTTAATATCATCACCACCACCTCATTACACTGTAATTATTTCCTAATAAATACTGTTGGAACAGTTTACTGCCAAATAGGCTGGACTAATTACGTTCTTCCTGTTGGCACAGCTAAAAGGTATAGTAAAAGTGATGGGAAATGAATCAAAACGTTTGGAAAGCAATAGGTTGGCAAAGATTACACAGTAAACACAATGGGTTCTGTGGCACCTAACACAGTAGGACAGCGTTTCTTAAAAGTGTGATCCTAGGGTTCCTGGAGGTCACCAAGTCCCTCTTGTGAGTCAGGCAATCAAAATTTATTTGTTGGCCTATGTTGAAAAATAATAGTAAAGGTAGGGCAGTAAATGCATTTTTTAAATTTTTAACAAGGTAAATATCAATAAATATAACCTGTACAAGCAGGAACTATTTTGAGGTCCTCCATAATTTTTAAAAATGGAAAGGGGTCCTGAGAGAAAAATGATTCATAAACATTGCAGCAGAGCATAGAATACCTTGCAAATTGATAAGATATATAAAATATATTTATCCTCAAGCATTTTCTTCACTATTCTTCAGTGTTCACATTCAAACTCTGGAGCTAATTATTTATTTGGTAGGTTGGGCAGAGAAGTTGTCATTCCAAAATATCAACTTCTACCCACTGGATGAGCATAACTTTTACAAACACACATATCTGATGCTGGCTATATAACCTGCTTTAAGTACAGGTTATTCTTAAATTAAAACCATTCATTTAGTGACTGTTCGAAGTCATGACACTGAAAGAAGTGACATATGACTGTTCCTTTCACTTATAGCAGCATCCCCATTGCCATATGATCAGAATTTGGGCACTTGATATCAAGAGCCTTGATAGTACAGTGGTTTAATGCACCCTGTTATTAACACAGCTGCCTGCAATTTCTGCTGGTTCGAATCTCTCCAAGGCTCAAGGTTGACTCAGCCTTCCATCCTTTCTAAGGTAGGTGAAATGAGGACCCAGTTTGTGGGGGCAATAAGCTGACTTTGTATAAAATATACAAAAGAATGAAGGCTATTGCTTAACGCATTGTAAGCCGCCCTGAGTCTCCGAAGAAGGGCGGCATATAAATCAAATTAAAAAAAAAACAAAAAACTTGGCAACCAGCATGAGCCTGGGTTGCAACATCCCAGGCTCATGGAATTGGTTCTCTTTAACTGCCATGTGATTCTCTTAACTGCTGTGATTTGCTTAATAACTGTGGCCAAAAAAGGATATAAAATTGGATCCCATTCATTTAACCACCTTACTTAGCAATGGAAATTCTGGTTCCAATTGTGGTCATAAGCTGAGGACTACCTATATCCCCAAAACCAGCATTGGACCAAGGAGGAGCAAACGGTATGGATGTGGACACAAAATTTCATCCATGTATAACTACAGAATAGACTTGATACATTTTTCTCAGTACTTATCATAATAGAAAATGAAATAGAAGAGTTTATATCAGGGCATGCATTATACTATGTATTTTAATACAATAACTGCTTTGGAAATGATTAATTGTAAACACAGACAAGATTCAGGACTTGCTTGGTATCTCCTCAAAGTTTTATGTTTTACCTTGTTGAATTAAACAATATGTTGCATATAAGAATACCCATCCTGGTCATTAGTCTCAAGGTGAGAAATCACTATGATTGACTGCTAATGCCTATGATAAAGTAGAATAGAAACTGTTGTGCTTAAAAATTCTGATATTATTGTCACATGGTTTTAGCACATGGAAATTGACATGGCACCTTTAAAAAAATTAACTCAAATAAAGGCCAAGAAATAAAACATTGAATACAGTTGAAGATAAAATCTACCTTCTAGCAGTAACTGATGAAGATGCAGTTTCATTAGCCCAGTGAAATTCTAGCTGGCTGTAAAGCAACAAGAGGAAACTCATCAATCAATACGGGGGAAAATAAGGGGGAAAAATAAGGGGGAAATGGTGTGAGAAATATATGTATTCTTTATTATACCAAAAGGCCCAATATACTTTGAAAGAATCTATTAGAGGAAATATAACTCTATTAGAGGAATCTCTATTGGAGGAAATAAAATACTATGTTTACAATTTATGAAACAAGTATATGCATGTTCTGTATTTTAGCATTTCTTTATTTTTTTTCTTTATGCAGGAGATACACATATAGTTATTCTGCATATATTAATGAATGTTTTGGGCATATTTGAAATTTATTTCATAAATTGTAAACATGTAACTTCATCTTTTTTTTTCATGCTCCTGAAAAACAGGTATATCAACAGAAAGCTGAGTGCCTCAACACCATCAGATAAAACCTAACAGGCATTTTGGAACACACAGTCAAGAAAAAAATGAGAAATTTCGGAAACACGATGCTCTACAAAAGAAACTCACATTGTTCACTCCAAAGCCACAAGTTAATAACTCCAACTCGTAGATCAAAAATCTATCCAGCAGACCTCTGTCAGACGATGAAAACACCGTCCTCTCACAACCTCAATTTCAACCACAAGTATGCGGACTCAGTCGATTTCCTAGCCAAATTTGAATACGTACAGAAAACAATCTCAGTCACGAGACACAAGAGGACATCAGACAGAGAATAATCTTCAACATCCAACGAAGCAAACACAATGAAACATTCAACCAGAAGGAGAGGAAGGCACTAAAGAAACTGCAACAAAATGAAAACATTGTCATCCTACTGGCAGACAAAGACAGACTGACTGATAATGGACAAAACTGATTATATCAATAAAGCTGAAGATCCGCTGAATGACACCAATAATCAACATCCAGATAGTCAACAACAATCCAGTGCACATCGTTGGATTGTGACATACTACATAACCAGCCACAACATGGAAACAAACTTTGCCACACATCAAAGAAATGTCAGAAATGGTGGTCAGAATTCTACAATCACTGGGAATAATGGTGGCTCACAAACCAACACCAGCATTCCAACAAGAGCTGTCCAGAACCAAGGACAAAATCCTGAAGGGAAAGAACAGCAACATAGTCTACAAGCTCAAATGCAACAACTGTGACCAATTCTATGTCGGCAAATAGAACAACAACTAAAAACAAGAATCCACAAGCACTGACTAGCAATCAACCGGCATGACCACAAATCTCTGCTCTTGACCCATGCTGGCATCGAGGAACACCAGTTCAACTGGGACAGAACAAAAATCATTGGCCATGCCACCGCAAGCCATGCATACAAATTCATCAAAGTCTGGTATTCAACAAACAGGTCAATCAACAAACATATCAATCTGGAACCAGCCTACGAGCCCATATAAGGAGCTGGATCAATTGGACAATCAACCAACAACAGCACTGGCCACTTCCTCACCTGGTGACCTTCACACTACGTGATCAACTGACCATGTCACCATTTAGGATAGATAAAAGCAGAAGGAAACTAAAACAAGAAGCTTCAACCGAAGTCCATGTTGAAGATGTTGCCTAGCCTGGCGACAAAACATTCGGAAGCCAAACAGCAAACTCAAAGAAAAATCACCGTCCACATCTACCATCCAAATTACAAATATTTTCCATCATTTCCAAAACAGGTATTCTTTCAAAATCTGTTGGGTTTTTGATATAATAAATAATATACTTTTTCTCACACAAGTTTTTTTAATTTTCTACCTGTTCTAAAATGCATATAAATCTATAGGCATGATATAAAGAAATCTGGCATCTCAAATTGAAACATGCATTAACTGGTGCTGTATCTTTTCCACAGACAGAGAAAATCTGTGAGGAATTTTATTATTTTAATATTTGGACTCTCAAGGCAGCGTATGCAAATGCAATTAAAAATACAAATAAAAGTATTTTTAAAATGACAATTAGAGCTTTCTAAAACATATCTCATTGCTTATATTTCTTTTTTCTTTTGTTTGGGGGGTGCTGAGAAAGGGATTATAGAAGACTAAAGGCAGCTGTCACTAGATTTAGGACCTCTCTATCTCAGTTCCTTTGGTAAAGAGTTGGGCAATTTTGGGGTGACCAATAATCACATATATATATATTTGGGAAGAATCTGAGAATATAAAAAGGGCATAGCCACTTCAAATAACTTGGTTGTAGAGACAGTTAGGAATTAGCTTTATTTTTAATTTTAGGCCTTGTATTACTCTTTTTATCTAGTTCTTAATCCAAAATTGGAGAAAACTGATGTGGATTTTAGCAATTGTAGTTTGTGGAGGCTGCAAAAATGGGGCTTGGGAATTTCTTGGGTGCTGGGGCCATAGGATTCCTATCTCTACTTTAGGATATGGTGGCTGCATGTCCATTACACTAATTGGTGACTGGAACATCAGGCTTGCATCTACTACTGCCCTATTATATGTTTGTACATATGTATGTATGTATGTGTATATCCCAACTTTATTATTTTTACAAATCATTCAAGGTAGCAAATACATCCAGCACACCTTTCTCCTCCTATTTTCTCCACAACAACCCTCTGAGTGGATTGGGCTGAGAGAGAATGATTGGCCCAAGGTCACCCAGTTGGTTTTCATCACTAAGACGGGACTTGAACTCACTGTCCCCTATTTTCTAGCCCAGGGTATCAAACTGGCGGCGCGTGGGCCAGATGCATCACACGCAGGCCACCCCAGCTTCACAAATGGGAAAAATATCGTGAAATGTCACATGACAGCAATGTGACGCAGCAAGTTTGACACCCGTGTTCTAGCCTGATCTTTTAATCTTTAGACAATATGTAGTGCAGGAGTAGGTAACGAAGATAGGGAGCTTCTGCCAGGGCAGATCACTTTCCCATTGGCTGTCATAATGGTTTCTCCACCCACATAGCGCTATGAACAAGAGCATCAGAATAACAAGAGTTGGAAGGGGCCTTGTAGGTCTTCTAGTCCAACCCACTGCTCAGCGAGTGACCGTATACCAGTGATGGCTAACGTTTTTGCCATTGTGTGCCAAAAGCGTGGGAGCGGGGGGGTCATACGTGCACATGCCATGCCCATAAATGCGCCCCCCGTGCATGTGCACGCGACACCCCCCCCGCGCTCCCCCCGTTTTGGCACGCGATGACACAATGGGCCCAGTAGGCCCGTTTTTCGCTTTTCCCAGGCTCCAGAGGCTTTCTAGGAGCCTGGGGAGGGCGAAAACGGCCTCCCCCCACCCGGAGGCCCTCCAGAGGCCGGAAACAGCCAGTTTCCTGACCTCCGGTGGGCCTGGAAAGCCTGAAAATCAGCTGGCCGGCGCACGCATGCACACTGCAGCTGAGGTAGGGTAACACTCGCATACCCACCAATATAGCTCCGTGTGCCACCTGTGGCACACGTGCCATAGGTTCACCATCACAGCCCTATACCATTCTGGCAAGTGGCTGTCCAGTCTTGTCTTAACAGTGATAGAGCACCTACAATTTCTGAAGGCAAGCCATTCCACTGATTAATTGTTCTCATTGTTGGGAAATTTTTCCTTATTTCTAGGTTGGTTTTCTCCTTGCTTAGTTTCCATCCATTGTTTCTTGTCTTGCTTTCTGGTGCTGTGGAAAATACCCCACTTCTTTGTAACAGCCTCTCAAATATTGCAAGACTGCTATCATGTCACCTTTAGTCTTTCTTTTCACTAGATTAGACATACCCAATTCCTGCAACAGTTCTTCATATGTTTTAGCCTCCAGGCCCTTCATCTTTAAAGCTTAGTCTCTTTTTTATGTAAGTAGGTCTTTTCTGGTATCAGAAGGAAGCCCTGCAAGAATGCTTTTTCCTCCTCCTCCTTTTTTTTTTTTAAGGATATATTGACTGACTATCTCACATCAAAATTCAAAAAGAGCTCAAATAGAGAATTATTCTTAAGGACCGGGTATGGATTGGGCCAGCTGCTGAACAGATGTCTTGGGCCACTTTTGTGAGAAACAGCTGGCGTGAATGAAACCATTTGCAGTGTGTTGCACTAAGATGAGTGCAGAATCCTGCATCCATTATTTTGTTTCTCTGCTTTTCATTTGAACATATTGCTGCAGCTAAGAGGAAAAAAAAGCCAGGAGTGAGATAGTATTTTTTAAAATCCTCCTGCAGCTTTCACAACACCCAAGGCCTTGAGGCCCTTCTTAACAAAGATTCTGCTTGGAACACATCAACTCCATGCTCAAGGTGGTCTCCATGGCAACAAAGATAACTTGGAGGCCTGGGCAACAAGAGAGCCCTGGAGGTAGTTCAAGACAAAGCTGGACTCCATTCTTCACACTCAGATGCTGTTTGCTGTGTGTGTGTGCATGAGTGCGTGCAAGGGTGTAGCAGAGTCACAGCTTATTTGATGAAAAAAGCAGCAATGATATTGGATGAAAATGTTGCAAGGTAGACAGTGTGCCCTCAATGAAGTGTTGACTGTTGTGGGCTAGTCAGGCTTCAGAATTCCACTTATTTTCATTTTTGGTGGTACCAGCCCCAAAAAACGATCAAGGAATTGAGCTTTTATATGCTCACTGCTGGAAAACATGAAAAGTTCATTTGCCTTATTTACTGGTTAGGTGCCAGTGCCAAATACAAATCCTTGTGGTAGAATGTAAAGTGGTATAATTTCTCACAGAGGGAATTTGCACATGCTTTTCCCCTTCCGTACTGTACCAAATGAGAATAGAAATGGCCTTGATAACATAGGAACTGCTGACATAATCAGTGCTGTTAAAATCTTGACTTTTTATACCAAAGGACATGGTTTGGGCCATCCTCACAAAATGGAAAGACGAGAGACCTTTTTGTGAATAGGTGATATAGAGGGCAAATTCATTTGAATTTGCTAATCCAAGGTACTCTTACGTGATGACACACACATACTTGTTTTTGAGAAGCTTATTAATACAGAATTCTCCTGCTTCCTGTTCTGTATTTTCAACTTTTGGTACAAGAAGTAGTTATGACTTCAAATGGAGTTTTGGAAATGTAAAAAAATAAAGAATTCACACAGTCCTTTCTGTATAAATTGCATATGTCAAGTCACTTCATAAAGCCTTCTATTTGGCAAAATAAGAGACTCAAGGACATTTGTTGGATGCTACAAGTATCGCACCCCAACTCCTATAACTCCTCCTTTATCATCGCTCTAGGTCCATTTCAGACAAGCATTTGAACGTAACCTAAATCTTTCTGACAGCCATTCTGCGTTATGAAGCATTTGTGGCTCAGGTTGTGAATTAGGCTGTCACTCTGTTTTCAGCAAATCATAATCTGAAATGCTTTGCTGTGCTGTGGAAATGAAATCACCAGAGCCTCTGCAAAGAAATGGCTTGTAATGTTGAACAAATATAACACAAGTTCAACTCAAGTTCTTCCTGCATATATTACTGTTTAGGTGCAAATAAAAACTTACTAAAAAGGAAAAAGCATTGGCACGAACAACACACATCTATGGATAAAACAGAGATTCAGGCTGTAAGTAGGATTGCCCACAAAGAATAGTAGCAGACAATGACAGCTATTTCTAATCAAATATTACAGACAATATATGTCTGACCTTATATACAAGAATGTTTGCTGCTCAATATTGTGCATGGGTGGATTTGAGAGTATGAAATGCAAGCCATAGAAGGAGAAGAACCTACCCTTTAGAAAAATATTGCAGACCAATACTTGCATTACCAAACACATATTCATTACGTACAGGTTTTGTGATTCAGTATATTCTTGTTTCTATTTTGCAGAAATTATCTTTTGCTTGTATCAAAAGCCTAATGCTTTTAATAGAAGAGTCCAACTCTTCCCTCAGAAAGACTGAGATCCTACACTTAGAGACACAATGCAACAACCTCTTGTCATGAGCAGCATGCACTTAGTCTCATGGAAACGGCATTATCAAACATACATTTGGTCCAGGAAGCCATAAGTATGTTTTGACCAAAGTCAAGACACTTCCATCACCATTTTTATTTCTTTACTGTTACTTCATGATTGGACCAGTGACAGCAATTATCTGAAATAGCCAGACAGCCCTTATTTTTCAATTTTTTCATATCAAAGAATGTCCATGTAAACTTATAGCCCCTGGCTTCCTTTTAATCTGCTTGACTTTAAAATTTAACATTATAGAGAAGATTTCCAGGTTTTTTTTGAAGGGGAATAGGGAGCTATTTGTAAAGCAAAGCTGCCATAAGCTGTGAGATTCTCAAAATTTTGACTGCGAATATTATTCAGCAAATAAAACCCCAATGTTTCCCCATTACATAAAATGTAAATATTATTTTCAATGAAACATTGAGAATCTCGCAGTTTATGACAGCTTTGAATTACAAATAGCTTCCTGTTTCCCTTCAAGGAACCTTGGAAGTACAATTCTGTGAAAGGGCTAGATTAGGAATTCATAATACCTTCGGTAACATTTTCCTCAAAGGATAATCTTTCAGATCTCTTTAGGATGAGACATGACAATGTAAATTAGTGCTTCCACTGAAGTGCTAACATAACTGCCTTGCTCATTTTTTGCCTGAATACTATCATTCTGGATTGGATGAAAAGAGTTATATAAAAGTGATTTTGATTGATTTCAGTGAATTCAAAGTTTGTGTAAAGATCCAGCTGCAGAGAAAAGACTTCTTTACAAGGAAGGAATGCCTGGATGCAGATTATTTCATCCTGTATTGCCTTTATTCCTCAGTTTTTCGAAAGGACGTCTGTAAGCTGACTCTCATCCTGTCCACGAAGATTTTGTTTGTTCCTTAAACATAAAAGGAAAAAGAAAAGTTGTACAGCCACATGTGTATCCAGGTTTATCTTTTCCTGCTCTCTGAAGCTTTACTTTAATCTTCCTAAACAAGAGCCCTCCAGAGGTTTTGGCTGCCAAAATCACTGGAAGAAGTATGGAAATCAAAGTGGATAATTTCAGAGGACACAAGGCTAGTTCTAGGCCCAAGCTATAGCTACAGGCTATTGAGAGTGGAGAGAAAGAGGTCTAAATCCCTCACCTTGATTAAAATTGAATATGAAGAAAGGAAAAAAGACAGCACTATTTTGCATATGTTAATTCATTGAAGTGTTTGCAAACGGAATATGCCCCGTTGCATCAATATGGATTTTAAAGGAAAACAAAACAAATAGCAGCTCAGGTGTGTGGGGAGGGCAATTCATTTTACAGAGGATCATCATGTATCAATATTTTGTTTGGTACAATTGTGAGAGGAACACAACTCTCTCTGTACCGATTCTTCAGGAAAGCACAGGAAATTTAAGAAAACAGTATTCTTGGTTTCATTTCCATCTACAAAAGAATTAAAAACATGAAATGTTCCCCTATCTTCATAGCAGCTCTGAATATCGTTGAACAGGGGCAGCCTTGATTCCCTGCCACCAGTAGCCTTCTCTAGTCTTTGGTGATGCCCATACAGTGCTATTTGAAGGGCTTTAATACTGTAGAACAGTTCTAGAAGATACTTCCTTTAGTTTCATGTCCTTTCTTACAGAGAAAGTGTTTCAATCCAACAGATAACTGCAGAATGTTCTGGTCTGTCTCCCCCACTTCTGCATGTTTATGGGGGTTGAATCTCAGGTTTATCTTTATCTTTGATGTGCTCCATCTGTAATATCTGTGTCATGGCTCCAGGCAGGCTTCCCACCTGCCTTTCTGAAGCTTCCCTCCAGTGATTCCCACCCTCAACCCAGTCTTCCACTGGTTCACTGCTCCAGCCACTCCCAAGCTCCTCTGTGGCCCAGTCCCCACTTCCTACCACCATTTCTGATTCCCAGTCCCCTGCCGTAGTCCAACTGCCCCCTCCTTCCTCCACAGAGCGCTGGTAGTAGGTCTCACGGGCATGTTTGCGCTTGGCATGTCGGCGGAGGGTATTCCGTTCTGTAAAGCGCAGTCGACAGATCTGGCATTGATAGGGCTTCTCCCCAGTATGGACCCGCTGGTGACGCAACAGTTCGCCAGATTCCCGGAAACCCTTGCGGCAGACGGGGCAGCTGAAGGGGCGCTCACCAGTGTGGATGTGCTTGTGCCGCTGAAGGTGGGAGGAACGCTTGAAGGCCTTGCCACACTCACGGCATATGTATGGCTTGCTCTCTGAGTGGGTGATGCTGTGGCGCTCCAGGTCAGACTGGTAGAGGAAAGTCCGCAGGCAAATGGGGCAGAAATACAGCTGTCGTGGTGGTGGAGCGGAAGCCAGCAACTCGGGCTCCGAAGACTGCATTTGTCCAGCCAGCTCCACTTCCTCTCGTGACACAGTGTGGGGCACCCCTTCTGCATCAATCAGCACCAGGGATCCCTCGTCAGTGGCATCTCCTCCTGATGTACCCAGTTGCTTTGAGTTTAGAGTAGAGGCTTGTGCGTTTGACCTTCCTCCCCTGTGTCTAGTCAGTGCAGAATGCAGCTTGGGACCCCACAGAGCAATGCTGTAGATCTCAGGCGGCCTGTCTTCTGTAGCCACTTGGTGCTGCGAGACATCACTGCTGAGTGGGGCCTGCGTATAGTGGTCCCAAGGCGCTGGAGGGCAACTTTCTATCACCTGGTTCTCAAGCCTGTTGCCACCATGGTTTTCCAGTCTCGGCCAACTACTCTCTCCTGGCACCAATACCCGAGTCTCTGCCTGCAGCTCCGCTGGATGCCCATCACCCCTGCTGACATGCCACCTGTGAGATGGCTCCATTGGGCACCAGGAACAAGAGTGCAATCAGCTACAGGGACATCGCTGCAGAAATGGGAGAACAGTAAGAGCTATGAGGAAGTACGCCCACCCATGAAATGCACATAATCACTTTAACACACTGTCATGAGAATACATTCAAAATAATCCATCCAGAATTAAAGTGATAAAAAAACACCAAAGCAGCTAAGAGCCCAGTAATACCAAATTTAACTAAGGCTCAGTGGGATTTACTTTTATGTAAAACTTACTCAAGATTCTGCCAGATCATGCCTTGTAAGATAATAAACTTAAATTCTTCAGCCTTTTTATGAAGTATGATGCTTGCTCCAAAATGAGTTAAAATAAAAACTAAATATTTTATTATTTATATGTAGAGTTCTTTCAAAATGCCTAGAAAACTGTTGGCATGGCAATGCATACAAGCATGGATACAACTGCCTGGTATTACGTGTTCAGATATTTTCTTGTAAATGCAAATATCTGTGTGTGAATATTTGCCTTATAAGCTAAACTCTAAGCACCTGCAGCATATGGGAATGCAAGGTATTTGCATGAACATCTGTGATTTGTTATACCCACAAGAAAGATTTTGTTTATTATACAAGCTAATCTGGAGAACAGTAATGGTTAAAGGTACTAGACTAGAATTTGGGAGATTAGTCCTACTTCAGACATGAAAGCCAGCTGGGCGACTTTGGGCCAATCTCTGTTTCCCAACTTTGGGGGAAAAAATACTGGCAAATCATTTCAGGAAGAAAAAAAATTACTAACAAAAGTGCAATATTTTTTTCTTGTATTCACCAAAAGCCAGGGCTGATTTGATGAAGCAAACATTTGCACCATAATTTTGAATTATCATTTTCATAATCAGTTTGTGCAAGAAAATGGTTGATTCTTCTCCCCTTTTGAAATGTGCTTATGGGTCAAGTGAGGATCTAAGTCTGTGTTAAGCACTGTAAGGAAGTAGAGCAGAGAGGTATTTCAAGTAAAATGCAAGGAATACAAGCCCCATCATCCAGAGGCAGGAATAGAGGCAATTTGCAAAATATATTTATATAACCCTGGCTTACTTTCTTCTCTTTACACTGTACAGCTTGTGCACACATTATACTCTACAAAACGTACCACACTTTTGCAAGTAGAATATAGTAGTTTTACAGATGCTATAGTGGTGGAGACATTAAATTTGTGTCCTAATTCTTGAAAGCTCTAATTCTCAGAAATGTTTGGAGGGTACCAACTCTTCCCAAATAGCAGAGGTTGTCATTTGCAAAGGTTCTCTGGCGTATCTGGTCTTTGCATTGTTTAGATCTAGTCCTTGTACATAGCAGATGCCTCTCAAAGCCCTAATCAGAGGTTAAATTAAGGGGTCAAGTTTGAAATTTGGAGTCCTTTGGAGTCTAATTTCAAACAGCCACCCTTCCTGCTCTCAACTGGAATATCAGCACTGTACATGTTTTGTAATATAATAAATGCTGGTTCGAAGCTTATGAGATCTATCTTTCAGTCCAGCCTACCTCGCAAGGTTATTGTGAAAGTAAAATAGAAAACTCCCCTTTGCACCAACTTGAGCTTTTAAAGGAAAGACAGGATATGCATTTTTACACAGTCTTTAAGTATCTATTAATAATTTCAGATGCTAGTACTGAAATGCAGCCTAGAATTGTGAGCTGCATTCAATTTGAAATGTATCAGATTTTTAACACTTAATTTTGAACATTTCTGTCACTTTAAGAATTAAAAAAAACACCCTTTCTTAATTCTAGGTGATTAACCTTAAATCATACTGTGAAGTTGTGAAATCCATTCCTTTGCACTTTTCTAAATGAGCACACACTAAAATCCCGCAGCATCCATTACTAGAAATAATGGGAAATAGTGAGAAGGCAAAGATAGTGAAAGAATGAAAATAGGGAACACAGGTTGCAAATGTTGCAGTCAGTGTAATTCTGGACAAGCAAGCCTCTTCCACTTTGCACCATCAAATACATTTTTGTTCACAATCTGCCAATCTATATTTTTCTTACACCTGAAAAGGCAAGGAAAGCACTACTTTCAGCTAAAACCATGTGATCAAGCTTCTGTCACAGCTGTAGCAAAATACTCACTTTCATTGCTTAACCCGAACTGAGCCCTTGTAAAAATACAATCAATAAATGTTTTAGACTTCCCTAAGAAATTCCGGGAGGACAAGTGCTGTCTTGGTATTTTTTTCCCCCCACTACAGAGGAGAGAGCACCTCTGGGCATGTGCTGAGTGCCCTTGCTTTACCAGTTAGAAATAGCACAAGCCATCCTTGAAGCACCTGCGACTCAGCAAAAGACAGACAGGTTTAAAAAGCACACAGATGTAAACATACACAAGAAGGTTTCCAAGCCGTCTTGATCCGTGGCATCCCATAAAAGGGAGAAATGTCCTATTAAAATTGTATTTTACTTTTTAAAGAGAAATCTGTTTTTCCCTCTATCCCTTATTCTTCCAACAGTGTCATCAAAAGCAGAGGATTCAGAGCCATGAGAACATTTCTCTTCCATCACAAATATCCAAGATATTCCCTTCCTCCTTGCGCCCTCAACCTGCGGATAAGCGGTCAAAGCTTTAAGAGCCCCCCCACCCCCACCCCGCAAATCTGCTTTGGGCTATGCTGGCTGAAAGGAAGGAGGCTACCCACTCCAGCCAGAGGACCCGAGGAGCAGCTAATACCTGTTTTGCATTGTGATCTGCGGCAGTGGAGGGTTTCAATGGGCCGGCAGCAGGTAGGGAAGAGATGAGCGTCTGATGGGAAGCCTCTCAGCCCGGCCGCTGCAGAACAAAAGAGGTTGGCTGGTCTTAGCTGGGCATCCGGGAGGCATTCGGACCCAGCCGAGGGACCCAGCGGAGAGCATGATTCCTACATTCAAGAGAGGCTCCTGGGTCCTAGTGCTACCAGCTGGTCACAAGAAGGGGACACCAGGAACAGCAAGCAAACTAATAGTTATGGGTCCCCACAGCGAGGCTTTTGTCACTTGTGCCTTTGAGAGAAAGTGGTTACACCCCTTCGTCTGTGCAGTTATGATTTTCCACCTGCTTTAGGCAGGGTGATCTAACCACTAGTTAACATAGAGACTTAGAATAACTTTATTGTCACTTTGAATGTACACTAATCGGCATACATTAAAATGAAGATTCATTGCATACAGCTCTCAAAGGGTCACCACCTCCAATATACACTACATAAACATATCAAAATAAATAAATACAAAATTATGCATATACCCACATATATCACACAGAGAAATAACACAGTCTATTTCGGATGTATACATGTTGTTGTTAGTTGCGAAGTCGTGTCCGACCCATCGTGATCCCATGGACAACGTTCCTTCAGGCCTTCCTGTCCTCTACTATCCTCTGGTGTCCATTTAAGCTCACGCCCACTGCTTCAGTGACTCCATTCAGCCACCTCGTTCTCTGTCGTCCCCTTCTTCTTTTGCCCTCAATCGTTCCCAGCATTAGGTTCTTCTCCAGTGAGTCCTTCCTTCTCACTAGGTGGCCAAAGTATTTGAGTTTCATCTTCAGGATCTGGCCTTCTAAAGAGCAGTCAGGGTTGATCATCTCTAGAACTGACCAGTTTGATCGCTTTGTAGTCCAAGGGACTCACAGGAGTCTCCTCCAGCACTAGAGTTCAAAGGCCTCAATTGTTTGGCACTCAGACTTGCTTATGTTCCAACTTTTACAGCCATATATTGCAACTGGGAAAACCATAGCCCTGACTATGCACACTTTTGTTGGCACGGTGATGTCTCTGCTTTTTAGTATGCTGTCTAGATTTGTCATAGCTTTCCTCCCCAGGAGCAAGCGTCTTTTAATTTCTTGGCTGCAGTCCCTATCTGCGGTGATCTTGGAGCCCAGGAAAATAAAATCTGTCACTACCTCAATTTCTTCCCCATCTATTTGCCAGGAATTGAGAGGGCCGGATGCCATGATCTTAGTTTTCTTAATGTTGAGTTTCAAGCCAACTTTTGCACTCTCCTTCTTCACCTGCATCAAGAGGCTCTTTAGTTCCTCTTCACTTTCTGCCATTAAGAGTGGTATCATCTGGATATCTAAGGTTGTTGATATTTCTCCTGGCAATCTTAATTCCACCTTTTTATTCCTCTGGCCCCGCCTTTCTCATGATGTGCTCTGCATATAAGTTAAATAGGCAGCATGACAGTATACAGCCTTGCCAGACTCCTTTCCCAATTTTGAACCAATCGGTGGTTCCTTGTCTAGTTCTCACTGTTGCTTTTTGACCCGCATATAGGTCTCTCAAGAGACAAATAAGTACTCCCATCTCTTTAAGAACTTGCCGCAATTTGTTATGATCCACACAATCAAAGGCTTTAGCATTGTGAATGAAGCAGAAGTAGATGTTTTTCTGGAACTTCCTAGCTTTCTCCATGATCCAGGATATGTTGGCAATTTGATCTCTAGTTCCTCTGCCTCTTCAAAATCCTGCCTGTACTTCTGGTAGTTCTTGATCCACATACTGCTGGAGCCTAGCTTGTAGGATTTTAAGTATAACTTTACTAGCATGTGAAATGAGTGCAATGGTGCGATAGTTTGAACATTCTTTGGCATTGCCTTTCTTTGGAATTGGAATGTAAACTGATCTTTTCCAATCCTGTGGCCACTGTTGAGTTTTCCAAATTTGCTGGCAAATTGAGTGTAGCACTTTTACTGCATCGTCTTTTAAGATGTTGAATAGTTCAGCTGGAATACTGTCACCTCCACTAGCTTTGTTGTTGCTCAGATTTCCTAAAGCCCATTTGACTTCACATTCTAGGATGTCTGGCTCGAGGTCAGTGACCACCCCATCGTGGTTATCAGGGACGTTAAGCTCATTCTTGTATATTTTTTCTGTGTAATTTTGCCATCTCTTCTTAATCTCTTCTGCCTCTGTTAAGTCCCTGTCATTTTGGTCCTTTATCATGCCCATCTTTGCATGAAACATTCCCTTCATATCTCCAATTTCTGGTCCTCCCTATTCTATTGTTTTCTTATATTTCTTTCCACTGTTCATTTAAGAAGGCATTCTTATCTCTTCTAGCTATTCTCTGGAATTCTGCATTCAGTTGGGTGTATCTTTCTCTTTCTCCCTTGCCTTTCACTTCCCTTCTTTCCTCAGCTATTTGCAAAGCTTCCTCAGACAGCCATTTTGCTTTCTCGCATTTCTTTTTCTTTGGGATGGTTTTAGTTACTACCTCTTGTACAATGTTGTATACATGTACATGATGAGAAAAACAAATCTTGTGAGTTTATCAGAGGGATGGCATAGGGAACAAAGCTATTACAGAATCTGGTAGTCCTGCTATGAATACTTTGAAACCTCCTCAGCAACAGAAACAGAAACAGACCATAATGTGGGTGTGTGGGGTCCCTAACAATGTTTTGAGCTCTAAGCACATAGTACTTAACATCACAGTAAACCATGATTTAACCATTTCTGGAAGGAACCACCATTGACTGGGTTTACACATTCCACTACTGTGTGCTAGAGTTTCTCGACCTAGACAACTTTAAAAATGTGTGGACTTCAACTCTCAGAATTCCCCAGCCAGCCTTGCTCTATGCCAAGACTAAGCACATCATTTAATGGTATAGTACAATATGTGATCCCATAGCTAAATGACTGTTTAAAGCAGGAGTGTCCAACCTTGACAACCTGAAGATCTGTGGACTTCAACTCCCAGAATTCCCCAGTCAGTGCTGACTGGGGGATTCTGAGAATTGAAGTTTACAGGACTTAAACTCGATACTCTTGCTTTAAAGGAATGGCTCCATTGAGTCAAGTTTGACTTTTTGTTATTACATGAACACATGCAGTTTTCTCATAACTTTATGAAAAGAATTTGTCCCCACTGGTCCTTTGGAGGTTTTGGACATCTCCATCCAACCAAGTTTAGCTTCTGAGTCCAGACATGGATGGCTAGGGGCTACCACCTGCTGAGGTTCTTAAGGGAATCAATTGACATTGATTGTCTACCCATCACATACCAATCAACCAGAGGCTATTTATTTATTTGCATCCTGACAGCTCTGAGTGACTCAGACCTCAAACAGGTCAGAATAAAAATAGAATAGGTAGAGAATAAAATAATAAATCTGGCTAACAACCTCAAAATAAAGACAAGCATATCCAACAAGGGGCCACAACCATCTTCAGCGGGAGACGTATTTCAGGCTAGTTAACCTGGCAGGTTAGGTGAGATCACCTGTTAAGTTAATTATTCAGCGGATAGGCATACTCAGCCAATAGAACTGTAATTCGCAGGTCACCAAAATGGAGCTGGGTTGCTTCTGCTGAACCATTATGGGATTTCCTTGTTCCCATATCCTGTACTCTGGTGTAAGGAGTTGTAGCCTTCCAGGGTCATTGAGCAGGAGTGGGACATAAAGATTAAGTCAAAATGGCAGCCCACTGCATATTCAAAAGCAATGTGGCATCAATCATGCAATTGAAGCTTCCATCATTTATTATATTTTTAGATTTTTATCTCAGTTTATTGCTTTATATGTAATTCAAGGCAACAAGCATGCTCACTGTCTTGAGTTATTTGTAAAACATAATAAAGGTGAGATATAAAATAACTTCCTCCTTGTCACGGTTCTGAGTAATAGATCCACTGCAAGCAAAACTCCGATATTTATTTCCAATAAATGATATTCATTGGAAGTATCATATTGGCACATATCTGGTCCCTCAGTTTTCACCTAATTAAAAGTGAAAGTCGCCCCTCCCCCCATCCCAAACAATCAGTCACATGGCCCAAACAATGCAGCATCCACTGATCTGGTGACATCACTCCTCCTTCCTCCAGCCAGGTGTAAGAACGTCCATGGTTCCCAAGAGAAAGTATTTTATTTTGACTTCACAACCCCAGCTATCTGGCTCATGACTTTTTAAATCCCCTTTGTGAATGCAGATTTAGCATGATATCTCTTAAACAATTTCTCTGTTTGCTGTAACACACTTCTGCACTGGCTTCTCTCTTTTCAAAATGATGGACAAAGTTACTTTTAAACAGTTTCTGGTGCTTCAGATGTGAATACATTCTTTTGCAAAACGAAAATACCACCTGTGCCACCCAGCCTCTTTTCCTACAGTGCCTACATCAACATTGTGCTCTTAACATTTGGCAGTGATTATGGATGAATTATAGTATGATAGCATGCTTTTGTTGTTGTTGTTAGTTGCGAAGTCGTGTCCAACCCATTGTGACCCCATGGACAACGTTCCTCCAGGCCTTCTTGTCCTCTACCATCCTCTGAAGTCCATTTAAGCTCATGCCTACTGCTACAGTGACTCCATCCAGCCACCTCGTTCTCTGCTGTCCCGTTCTTCTTTTGCCCTCAATCTTTCCCAGCATTAGGCTTTTCTCCAGTGAGTCCTTCCTTCTCATTAGGTATTTGACTTTCATCTTCAGGATCTGGCCTTCTAAAGAGCAGTCAGGGTTGATCTCCACTAGGACTGACCGGTTTGATTGTCTTCTAGTCCAAGGGACTCGCAGGATTCTTCTCCAGCACCATAGTTCAAAGGCCTCAATTCTTTGGCACTCAGCCTTTCTTATGGTCCAATTTTCACAGCCATACATTGCCATTGGGAAAACCATAGCCTTGACTATACGCACTTTTGTTGGCAGGGTGATGATGTCTCTGATTTTTAGTATGCTGTCTAGATTTGCCATAGCTTTAGGGCATGCTTTAATACTTTCAAAATAAACACAATAATATAAGAATGTGTCCAGTTTAAAAAAAAAACCCTAAAAGTTAAAAAAGCTGCAAATTGTAATGGCATGTACAGTTAATACTCGACTTATGACCACAATTGAGGCCAAAGTTTTTTGTTGCTAAGCAAGA